GCTGGCGACGCGCATCACAGGCTTGGTGCGAGGGACAGGAACAGGCCGGACCGCACTGGGAACACACACCACTGGCCTTACACGGGGATCAGGAACGGGCCGGACCGGACTGGCAACACACCTCAGTACCTCTCGCCGTGCCTCTACACTTTCCTTCCCTCTACTCGCCAATGGCTCCCGTAACCCGGTGGCCTTCTCTCCTCGTCCACTAACTCGCCCTTTATCTGCCTCCGGCAGCCCCGTCGTCCATGCCATGTGCACCCCCCCCCTAAAAAATTATTGGGGGTGCCTCTCGCCTGTCCGACGACGGACCAGTTGGCGCCACTTCTCCTCTCCTGCCTGGGTCTCCCCCTTCATAGCCCTCCGGTAACGGACAGCCTCCTCCTCCGTAATCTGCCCCCAACCGAGGAGGACATCCACTAGAGTTACCTCTGGCGTTGGCTCCTGGACACGCTGCTTGGTCCAGTTATGGTGGGATCTTCTGTCACGATCGCTGAAAGGAGTGGACCAATGCGCAGCGTGTAATGTGAACATACTTTTATATTTATTAGAGTACCACACGAACAAAACAACAAAACGATACGTGAAGTCCTTGGTAACATAAACAAACCATACACGGAACAAGATCCCACAATACACTGTGGCAAACAGGCTGCCTAAGTATGGTTCCCAATCAGAGACAACAAGCAACAGCTGATACTCGTTGCCTCTGATTGAGAACCACCCCGGCCAACATAGATACACATGAACTAGATCTTCAACACAGAACACAAACACATAGAATCTACACACCCTGGCTCAACATAACAGAGTCCCCAGAGCCAGGGTGTGACAAAAAGTTTCTCAATACTTTGTTATATACCCTTTGTTGGCAATGACACAGGTCAAACGTTTTCTGTAAGTCTTCACAAGGTTTTCACACACTGTTGCTGGTATTTTGGCCCATTCCTCCATGCAGATCTCCTCTAGAGCAGTGATGTTTTGTGGCTGTCGCTGGGCAACACGGACTTTCAACTCCCTCCAAAGATTTTCTATGGGGTTGAGATCTGGAGACTGGCTAGGCCACTCCAGGACCTTGAAATGCTTCTTACGAAGCCACTCCTTCGTTGCCCGGGCGGTGTGTTTGGGATCATTGTCATGCTGAAAGACCCAGCCACGTTTCATCTTCAATGCCCTTGCTGATGGAAGGAGGTTTTCACTCAAAATCTCATGATACATGGCCCCATTCATTCTTTCCTTTACACGGATCAGTCGTCCTGGTCCCTTTGCCGAAAAACAGCCCCAAAGCATGATGTTTCCACCCCCATGCTTCACAGTAGGTATGGTGTTCTTTGGATGCAACTCAGCATTCTTTGTCCTCCAAACACGACGAGTTGAGTTTTTACCAAAAAGTTCTATTTTGGTTTCATCTGACCATATGACATTCTCCCAATCCTCTTCTGGATCATCCAAATGCACTCTAGCAAACTTCAGACGGGCCTGGACATGTACTGGCTTAAGCAGGGGGACACGTCTGGCACTGCAGGATTTGAGTCCCTGGCGGCGTAGTGTGTTACTGATGGTAGGCTTTGTTACTTTGGTCCCAGCTCTCTGCAGGTCATTCATTAGGTCCCCCATGTGGTTCTGGGATTTTTGCTCACCGTTCTTGTGATCATTTTGACCCCACGGGGTGAGATCTTGCGTGGAGCCCCAGATCGAGGGAGATTATCAGTGGTCTTGTATGTCTTCCATTTCCTAATAATTGCTCCCACAGTTGATTTCTTCAAACCAAGCTGCTTACCTATTGCAGATTCAGTCTTCCCAGCCTGGTGCAGGTCTACAATTTTGTTTCTGGTGTCCTTTGACAGCTCTTTGGTCTTGGCCATAGTGGAGTTTGGAGTGTGACTGTTTGAGGTTGTGGACAGGTGTCTTTTATACTGGTAACAAGTTCAAACAGGTGCCATTAATACAGATAACGAGTGGAGGACAGAGGAGCCTCTTAAAGAAGAAGTTACAGGTCTGTGAGAGCCAGAAATCTTGCTTGTTTGTAGGTGACCAAATACTTATTTTCCACCTTAATTTGCAAATAAATTCATTAAAAATCCTACAATGTGATTTTCTGGATTTTTTTTTCTCAATTTGTCTGTCATAGTTGACGTGCATCTATGATGAAAATTACAGGCCTCTCTCATCTTTTTAAGTGGGAGAACTTGCACAATTGGTGGCTGACTAAATACTTTTTTCCCCCACTGTATATATTTTAAATTACACACATTTATTTTAGTATGTCAATATATATTTGCTCTCAATGTTTTGGCATCAAACTGATAGCAGTTGTGAAAAAAGTCAATAGTTGGACGAGTTGCAGAGTTAATTGAAAATAATGCCAATGTTGATATATATATATTATATTTGTTTTATATTTTGTTTGTTATTCAAGTATAAATTACCAAAGTTTTGATAGATTGCTATAGATCTTCTGTTAATTACCAACATTTTGGTAAATTACCGGTAGCTTTGCCAACCTAGTCAAATGTACAGGGCTGGAAATTAGATCAAGCCTGACCAAACACTTTATGTGGGATATGGCACAGTGCCTCTCTCTCTGACACACACTGTAAGGTTGGAGAAGATAAAGGTCTCACCTCAGCAACTACTGTCCCACTGTTGTTTGCAAACTGCACAGCTGGTGGAACTCCCTCCCAGAGATGGGCTGGAGAAAGCAGTTTGTGTCTAATCCCCCAGCAGGACTGCCTGCAATAGCACCACACATTTCCCCTGACAGCAGTTGCTTCCCCTCCTCCCAATAACACAATCTCCTAGTCCTGGCCCATTTTTAGAAGCACATAAATAACCCACTGTAAACCTCAGGGTGGGGTGTTTGAAAGTGTGTATGTGTATGGGATGATGGAGGCAAGGCTATCGACCCACAACACCCCAGCAGCAGCGGCTCAATACTTCTCCCCGATTGATTTTCTGTATGGGTCACACCGCCATCCATCTTTAACACAAAGGAGTGGCCCGCCGGGGCACAGCATTCATGCTGCATTGCCAGGGTGATGGACGGTCCCAACCCATCAGAGAGGAACAGAAATCCCACCCTGTTCTTTTAATAAACAACCCAAATGAACTCACATGAACTAGACCAGGGGGTTAGAAACAGCATTAGGATATCCTGAGTTGAATACAAATTAAGTTGGTCAGTTAGTGGTTATTACATTTACATTTTTACATTTTTGTCATTTAGCAGACGCTCTTATCCAGAGCTAGTGAGTGCATACATTATTATTATTTTTGATTACATTTTTTATACTGGCCCCCCGTGAGGATTCCTTGAGCCCCATACCAACCCAGCAAACATTACTCTATTGGCCCTGTCTGGTTATTCGGTGGGAAAGGTGGGCACGGGCTAGCCCACGTCACGCCCACATCAAGCCCACACAAGCCCAACACAGGCTAGCCCAGCATGGGCTAGCCCACAGCAATCCCACATCAGCCCAACAAAAGCTAGCCCAGCATAGGCTAGCCTACATCAAGCCCACACCAGCCTGACACGGGCTAGCCCACAACAAGCCCAACACAGGCTAGCCCACACCAAACCCACATCAGCCTAACATGGGCTAGCCTACACCAGCCCAACACAGGCTAGCCCACACTAAGCCCAACAGGGGCTAGCCCACACCAGCCTAACAAAGACTAGCCTACAACAGCCCAGCACGGGCCATCCCACACCAAGCCCAGCTAGAGGGGGGCTAATTCAAATATTTGGGGGTGTGGTTTGCACACAGTTCTTTTTGTGCAACCGTTACTGGTGTCGTTCCGGTTCAAGTGTTCTGTTGTGTGATTCCAAAGCATGTTTTATCTTGTACACTGCCAATGATGAAGTCTTTAAAAATACTTAAGTACATGTGACATAGGAGAAATGTAACAGTTTCTCTTGTGAAAATATATGTATGATAGTAACAACATTGTTGTTTTTTTGATACAATGTATCACGTTCCCTAAATACCTTTAAGGCTTAAATTATGCAATTTAGGCATTGAATTACATTTTTATAAATAAATTATAAATACATTCCTATTAAATAGCAAAGGTGCATTGGCCCAAGGTGGGAAGCCTACATGGGGCCAATATGTTAGCCCACATTGTGCCAACGTAGGAATTTTTGCTGGGAAAAAATTTGCTTATTTTCGGCAAGGTGAGGGCTGCCCTCACCAGATATGGGCAGCCTACATGGGTCCAATATTTTTGCCCACATCGTGCCAATATGGGCATGTTTGCTGGGAATATTTCCAGCAAATCCTACTATACCAAGCACCTTTTAATCAACCAAGTGCAGTCAGTGCCATTAGTCCCAGAGCCTACAGGTATACAAGGCTGTGATGGAGAACGGCTGCAGGATCTCATGATGAAGAGGATGTTCCAAGGCCACAGACAGACAGGGAAAGGCATTTACAACACAAGCACTAAGGGGCTGCCTGTCTCTGTCTTTATAGGCTCCTAAAGAGCCACTGCAGCTTGAGAGGGTAGCCCAAGAGGCTGATGATTACTGCCAGGACTGATGAGTGCTGCCGTAGCACAGCATCAGGGATGGCGTGAAGGGGTGAGGAGGCTATGATATGGTGGAACTGAGTGCTTCTGGGAAAAAAGGACAAGGGAACAACGTGTACTGTCTGGGGCCTTCAGAAGATTATAGTCTGGCTGCCTTGTGATGGATGCCATGGCAGAGGTTCAAAGCCACAGATAGTCACAGAGAGATATCACACCAATCAGCTGTGACCGGATGTTTCACCCAAGAAAATACTCTTATGTAGGGAAGAGCCTAGTTTGTCTACATGTATTTGAATGAACTCTGGACTTGCTGAGAAGTATGGTGAGGGTATGGTCCATAGTGTGTCTGTGTCATCATACCGTAACTGCTTCTGCCCATCCTCTCTTTTCTTGAGTAAAACGTAGCATATAGAATGAGTGTACTGAAATCTGTTGTATTTTTCCAGCAGGTGGCGCTGTGCTTATAGGCAATGACTTCCTCTTGGTGTCTGCCTCTGGCTCTCCTGGTCTCCACCCTTGCCGTTTCACACAGCGCCGAGACCGGCTCCACACACGCCAAGAGGAGATTGGCACAGCCCTCGCCAGGAAATGGCAATGCCCTCCAGTACCCTGAGCAGGGCTTCCTGAGCCATGGGCACGGCAGGGAGCGTGAAGGGGGGCATGGGGGCCAGGGGGCCCGCAGTGCCAAAGCCAGTACTGGGGCTGGGCTCCTCTCCCACAGTCCCCTGCACCCCGCAACTCGACCTGAGGATGATGGGACTGGTCTGGAGGGCCTAAGCCCGGTGAGACTGGAGATGGGCCCTGGAGGCAGGGAGAGGGAGAAGGGTCACGGGGGCTTCAGGAACCCATCTCATGCTCGGGACAACCACCCTCTGGGGCCACGCAAGGGGAGGGGACAGGGACATGGGCACCACTTTGACCACAGGAGACATGGAGGTCGGAGAGACAAGGGTCGGCACACTAAAGGTGAGTCACCAAAGGATCTAGGGTTATCAGATAATGAGCCGTGAGCCTGTTTGGGATTAGTTCTGTTTACATATGATACATATGATTGTGAAAGAGCCCAAATGAAAATATAAAGTGACATATAATTTGAAAGCTACAGCCCTTGTCTTTTTGGAAAGGGTACACCTTGATGTTTATTGTGAAGCAATGCACTTCCTTCTCCATCCACAATACCTTGTATGCATCCTCCACATGTGCCATTGATCTGGCTCATCGTTTACAATAGGAAAATAAGTTTCCTCACCTGTAAATAAATAAAAACTCCATAACTTGAAAGCCCTGATTGGTAAGGTCATTTTAAGATGTCAGGCTTGAAAATCCGCTCAGCCATTTTGGCTAAGTGACTCACTACCCAAACCAGACACAACTGGTTTCAAGTGGCCAAGAGACGTCATGTGACCTCCTACTGCTATCAAGTGCAGGGGTTCTCAAACTGGGGTCCGAAGACCCGAGGTCCTACAGGGGGTCCGCGGCCAGATCTCAATTTTTGTTTTTTTAAAGAATATTATTAGCAACAACAGATTTAACACATTTTATTCCAAGGGATCCATGGAATAGATTTCATGGCAAAATTTGTAAAATTGCAGGATATTAGCTTTAATGCTGCACAACAACAAATCTCTCTGCCCCATGACAAAATGTGTAGACCTGCAGGAAATTAGCTTGAAAACTGCAACCTTTTTTCTCCAATGCCAAGGGGTGGGCCTTTAAAATGTTCCTTCCCAGGGCCCGAGACTTAGTTCGCCCGACCATGCACTTCTGAAGTCATAGTAAAACTCCTTGTATGCTATTTTATCTCACTCGAGTTATGAGTGGGTCCCTGATGAATTTACTATCACAAAAGGGGTCCCTGGCCCCAAAAAGTTTGATCAAGTGGACAAAGTGGGAATCACAGGGGACATACAGTACCAGTCAAAAGTTTAGACACACTCAATGTACACCTACTCATTCCAGGGTTTTCCTTTATTTTTACTATTTTCCACATTGTAGAATAATAGTGAAGACATCGAAACTATGAAATAACTGGTAGTGTACAAAACATTAGGAACACTCTGCTCTTTCCATGACATAGACTGACCAGGTGAATCCAGGTGAAAGCTATGATCCCTTGTTGATGTCACTTGTTAAATCTACTTCAATCGGTGTAGATGACAGATTAAAGAAGGATTTTTAAGAATTAAGACAATTGAGACATGGAATGTGTATGTGTGCCATTCCGAGGGGAATGGGCAAGACAAGACATTTAAGTGTCTTTGAACGGGGTATGGTAGTAGGTGCCAGGCGCACCGGTTTGAGTGTGTCAAGAAGTGCTACGCTGCTGGATTTTTCACGCTCAACAGTTTCCCATGTGTAACAAGAATGGTCCACCACCCAAAGGACATCCAGCCAACTTGACACAACTGAGGGAATCATTGGAGTCAACATGGGCCAGCATCCCTGTGGAACGCTTTTGACACCTTGTAGAATCCATGCCCCGACGAATTAAGGCTGATCTAAGGGCAAAAGGGGGTGCAACTCAATATTAGGAAGGTGTTCTCAGTGTATTTACATCATTGGATAGGAAGAGACTTCAGTTTTCTCATCATACAGTACATTCGGAAAGTATTCAGACCCCTTGACTTTTTCCACATTTTGTTACATTACAGCCTTATTCTAAAATTGATTGAATCAATCTACACACAAAACCCCATAATAACAAAGCAAAAACATGTTTGTAGACATTTTTGCAAATGTATATAAAAAAATACAAATAAAAAATATTACATTTACATAAGTATTCAGACCCTTTACTCAGTACTTTGTTGAAGCACCTTTGGCAGTGAGTACAGCCTCGAGTCTTCTTGGGTATGACGCTACAAGCTTGGCACACCTGCAGATCCTTTCAAGCTCTCAGATTGGATGGGGAGTGTCGCTGCACAGCTATTTTCAGGTCTCTCCAGAGATGTTAGATCGGGTTCAAGTCTGGGCTCTGGCTAGGCCACTCAAGGACATTCAGAGACTTGTCCCGAAACCACTCCTGCGTTGTCGTGGCTGTGTGTTTAGGGTCGTTGTCCTGTTAGAAGGTGAACCTGGAGCAGGTTTTCACCAAGGATCTCTCTGTACTTTGCTCCATTCATCTTTCCATCGATCCTGACTAGTCTCCCAGTCCCTGCTGCTGAAAAACATCCCCACAGCATGATGCTGCCACCACCATGCTTCACCATAGGGATGGTGCAAGGTTTCCTCCAGACGTGACGCTTGGCATTCAATCTTGGTTTCATCAGACCCGATAATCTTGTTTCTCATGGTCTGAGAGTCTAGGTGCCTTTTGGCAAACTCCAAGCGGGCTGTCATGTGACTTTTTACTGAAGATTGGCTTCTGTCTGGCCACTCTACCATAAAGGCCTGATTGGTGGAGTGCTGCATAGATGGTTGTCCTTCAGGAATGTTCTCCCATCTCCACAGAGGAACTATGGAGCTCTTTCAGAGTGACCATCAGGTTCTTGGTCACCTCCCTGACCAAGGCTCTTCTCCTCCAAATGCTCAGTTTGGCCGGGCGGCAGGCCCAGCACCACGAGGGGGCAAAAGGGGGCAATCCCCCCTCAGTTTTGTATCCCTATTCTGTCCCACAATCTGCTCCCTCTGTTATGCCCAACCAATTTATTTTGTATGCTTCATTCATGCAACTCCCTTGCACGCATCATACGTACGTCATACATATTTTACCAGTTGAAAAAAACGATAGAAGGGCGGGGTCAATTTGACCGTTTAGGTTTACTTTCAACGTTTCGTTCTACTGGATGGAATTTCGCTTATGTTAACAGTTAGGTAGGTAGCTGATAGCATGATGGATATTAGAAAGTGGCTTCGCCAGGGCACAATGGCAGCATAGGATCAAAGCGGCAGGGAGGGGGAGAAGCCTGCCACAGAGGCCAAGGCCGCTGAGCCGACACTAAGGCACCTGCGCAACAGTCTTGCAGCCTGGTGACATAGGAGGTAACCAACCCGAGGAGGGGCCTGCAGCCGCCAAGACTGAACCTAGCAGCAGCACCGCCAGGATATTATAAGCACCGACGCCTCCGTTAGTGCCTGACGACCTCGGTGATGAGGAACCAGCGCAGGTTTGTCTGGGGAAATACCCAACCCGCTTGTACTGTGGGAGAAAACTGGCATTTTGTATCGCATGGTTCAAAGGCAGAGAGTGGCTGGAATATTCCTGCAGGGCAGATGCAGCTTTCTGCTAGCCTTGTCGAAAATTTTACATCGGCTCCAATGCTAACGCCGATAAGGCATTCACCCAAACTGGATATAATAACTGGCGACATGCCATTGATAGCAACAAGGGACTGGGGAGGCACGCATCAAGCAAAGAACATTTGAAATGCATGGTACTTTGGACAGAAGGACAAGCAAGGAATGCACAGAGAGCGGAGATTTCAACACTTGTGAATTCCTCACACCTTGCAAAAAATTGATATTTGTCATCGATTGTGGACATTGTGGCATTTCTTGCTGTCAACGAGCTTCCTCTCAGGGGAACTTTGGATGCGATGGATGGAAGAGGGGAGGGGGGCGGCGGACTATTCCTGGTGATGTTATATTATACGCTCAGGAAAGACAAGGAACTTGCTAGTGCCTTAAGCACAATTCCCTGCAATGCCACATACACATCTCATGACATCCAGAACGAAATAATTGGGCTCATGAGTGAGGTAGTCACAGAGGAAATTGTGAAGGAAGTAGGTGATTCATGGTACACACTTAAAGTGGATGGGACTAAAGACCCAACCGGGTGCAAGAACATTTCAATTGTACTCCGTTACGTGGGCGAAAACAACCGTGTTTGTGAGTGGCTACTGTCAATGGCAACGAGTAAAGAATGTGATGCTTTATCGCTGACTAACTTGGTCCTGTCAGAGCTAACATATGTTGGCCTTGGCACCGAGAAGATTCTTAGTCCATTTTATGATGGGGCCAGTGTGATGTCTGGTAAACATGGGGGCATGCAAAAGGTAGTACAGGACAAGCTGAAATGGGAAGTGCCATATGTGCATTGGTTTAACCACCAACTGCATTTAGTCATAGTGCACGCTATGTCCTCAGGGTGAATTGTATGACTTTTTTAATGTGTGTTTCTCAGGAAACCAACGGTGGCTGCGCAATATATGGGAGAGAAACTGAAACAGTTGCTTGAGCAGCAATGGACTGGTCATCTGGCCACGGTGAGTGTCATTATAAAATCTCTGGACAGCATCATCCACCTGCTCAGAGAAATCGAGAGTACCCGCACCTACGGTACAGAGGTGCGACTGAGGCTGTGGGCCTATTTAAAGCTGTTTCCGAGCCGAGCTTCAGATTCATTGCCTTCATGGTCCCCAAAGTCCTCAGCCTGCTCGACCCCCCTAACAAGTTACTTCAGGCTGAAGCAACTGATCTGTACACTGGCATCCGAGTCGTCTGCAGTGCCCACAATTGCGTGGAAAAACTGCGACGTGACAGTGAGTTTGATGAGTTATGGTAGAAATACAAACACACGGACACCCCCGCTCCAAGCAAACGGCAAAGAGTAGTGAGTAGTAATCTGAAAGAATATGTAGTCGAAACAACAATGGGCCAGCAAGAAGAGGATAATGAGAAGGAGTGCAAAATACTGTTTTTCAGCACTCTGGATGCTGTACTGGGAGAAATGTCAGCAAGATTTAACGAACGAAACAGCCAACTTGTTGAGGCCCTGTGTGCCTTGCACCCAGATAATGAAACCTTTATGGATGTGGAAAAGGTGAAACCACTGCTGGACTTAATCTCAGGAGACATTGTGGAAGCTGAGTTTACTGTCGCACGCCAGTTTCTACAGACTGAAATCGTCCGATCTGGAGGAGAAAAATTGACTATGCAGAGCATTTTGGATAGATACTCCAGGCCTCTAACGGCAATGCCTACTGTGATGATGGCATTTAAGCTGGGATTAACATTTGGAGCATCCACGGCAACTTGCGAGAACTCTTTTTCAACGTTGAAAAACGTATTCAGTGAGCACAGACGGAGCATGTTGCACAGGAGGAAAGCGCAGCTGATTGAACTGGCATTTGAGAGAGATCTTACAAGCAAATACCGTGGGGATTGGAACGAGAGGCTGCTGAGGAGGTTCAACATAGCATCAAGGCGGATGCAACTCTTTTGAATCTGGGTAAGAACAGGCAGCCTGGCTGGGCTTGTATTATTTTGTTATTTGCTAGCTTTTGGAAATGCGTGGCAAATGTCAGAAATAGGCGTAGATGTGATTTTCTTAATTGGCGTTGCTGCCAAGTTTACTGCTTGATTTCTGTGATGTGATTGGATTGGAAATGTTTGGTTTATAATATAGTCAGATTGTTTTTAATGTTGTTTTATATGGTAGAAGAGGTGCTTTGCATTACATTGATGAGGGTGGGCAGACCTTGACCAATGGTTGAGTAACGATGTAGCTATAGTGTTGCCATAAACAACTCATTGCTATGGAATACTAATTTCTCTGTTATTATACACTGCGTAGTATGGCACTCTTGTGGGAAGACAGCTTGGTAGCTGCGTCCAAGCTGCATTGTACTGACAACTGTGGGACCTTATATAGACAGGTGTGTGCCTTTCCAAATCATGTCCAAACAATTTAATTTACCACAGGTGGACACCAATCAAGTTGTAGAAACATCTCAAGGATGATCAATGGAAACAGGATGCACCTGAGCTCAATTTCGAGTTTCATAGCAAAGGGTCTGAATACTTATGTAAATAAGGTATTTCTGTTTTTGATTTTTTATAAATTTGCAAAACTTTCTAAAAACCTGTTTTTGGTTTGTCTTTATGGGGTACTTCGTGTAGATTGATGAGGGAAAATTTTAATTTAATTAATTTTAGAATAAGTCTGTGACATAACAAAATGTGGAAAAAGTCAAGGCATCTGAATACTTTCTGTATGCACTGTATGTATATCATTCCTGTAAGACAAAAAATGAAGGCATGGCACATTGTACAAGCCCTGCGCTTTTAAAATGGCTGTGTTCCTATGGGAATTTGTACATGTTTAGAGCTCCACCATTAAAACCCTCCCGTTGTCCTAGGGTCAAAATGACCCGCCACTGTGTTGAACCAACTTTATTTAATTTGTATATTTTTTGGATCATTTGTGAGAAGGAGGCAGTGATACTTTCTTTAAAGTCTCACTGCCTCCTTCTCACAAATGATCCCCCAAATATAAAAATTAAATAAAGTTGGTTCAACACAGTGACGGGTCATTTTGACCCTAGGACAACGGGAGGGTTAAGTAAAAGATCTGACCATTTGTTTGGTTTTTTAATACATCGTTTTGGGACAGTATTTGGTGACATATTTTATCTCAAACCTAGACTTTCAAATCTCTTACTCCCCAACATTTGACTTGGCTCTGTAATAGTAAAAAAAATTCTGACACCTTTATCAGAATCCCACAGTTTTTACCTTTCTAACAGTACTAAACATGCGTTTACAATATACAATATTATGCGTTGTTTAGAAAATGCCACCAGAGGGCGCCATGGTTTAAGAGGTTAAGTGTGAAGTTGACCTTATACTTAAAAAACTAAACAAAACTGCATTTCCTTGTCGACAGGGAGAAATCTTCTCAGGTGGATATGATCATGTCTGGTCTTTCCTCTCCTCCCCCACCCCTGTTCTGTCCATCCATCCTTCCTATAGGTTTCCTCCCTGAGCCTGAGCTAGGCTCTGTTCTGAAGGAGGGATCTGTCTCCTCCGCCATCTTTGGTTCCGGCGCCTCTGCGTTTACCATGGTGATGAGCGAACATCCCCCAACGCTGCCCCCAGCCTCCACCAAACCCCAGGTACCCCATAAAGACATATGAGTGCTTATTCAAAACAACATTGTCTATTGTAATTCAGTGTTGTAGGATTTGTAGAGCTATTCATGGTAAAGAAAGAGTCCTATTTGAAAATACCTAGGCTCCGTAATGGGCTTAATGTATCACATAGCTCATTGCTCATCTCAGAGAAATGAGGAGACAGGCTTTTTAAATTACCTATCATCTCTCCTTCACTTTCTCCCAGAATGCTGCCTGCCATCACAATTATCACTCACCCGGATAGATAGATAGATAGATAGATAGATAGATCCCTTCCCTGCTTCTCACTTATACAAATGCTCCCCCTCTTCTATCCTCCCTCTATTTTTCTCAGGATGCTATTAAACCACCAATACACTCATCAGACTGGTAAATAACAGTACTCAGCCAATGTTGAGGTCTGACTGACTCCAGGCTGGTGTTCTGTGGTGCCTATCCCAGGTCCATAGTTTCATAGTTACTGAAGCCCTGTCTGGCTTTACTGGCCCCTGTGAGTATTTGATGTCTGGACTGTCTGACTGCTTGGTATGCTGTTTACAAGCTGCCAGAGAGCATTGGATATTGTGTGCATGTCTTTATTCAGGAGCTGTCAGATACCGGCCTGCAGTGGAAATGATAGCCTCACTTGGAGTGGACCTGGGTTCAATGACACAGGGACGCTGCGAGAGTTCTTAATTAACGTTCGATCCCGGCTGATGGCTAAATGAACAGCCAAGCACTAGTATCCCACCGCCATTCATCTAATTGATGTTCCTCAATGTTTCCTCTGGGTGAGATGAAATGAGCTGGGATCAATGTGCACAAGGAGTCTGTTTGGCACAGACCCTTATTTCCTGATAGATGTTCTTCTCAGGTCCATTCTCTCTAGACATCCCATGGAGACCTCTCAATGTCATATTGACTTCATTATAACCTGCTATTATTTTGTCAACACGGTCCAGAGGAAAGGAGTTATGTAAAGAGCTTCGTTGAAGTTTATGACATCAGTTTTGGCTAAGTAATCCTCTGAGGAGTTTTATTCAATATTGACTCATGCTTAAATTGCTTTGGTTCAGGGTGTGATATTGAAGGACATTGACATACCGGTAAAATCACAGCTGTGTGAAAGTGATTCACAGGCCTTCTACTCTGACCAGTAGTAACACTGTTTAGTACGATGCATGTATGCTGCCTCAGGGCCATAAACAGTGCAGTAGGAAGCCATGTCCTCCGAAGCCCACTGATTGCCTGTAAAGCACTCTGGGCTGTGAAGTCCTGAGTGTCCACAACTAACAGGCCATTTTATCTGCCAGGTGTCTGTTCACATCCTCCCCAACAGAGACATACGGGAATGTAGTTATAGACTACTTAAGTGTGGCTATAATATTTTCTCTGCATTACAGAAGTCAGGCCACAATGTGCAAGGAGAGGTGATGCCCACTCTGGACATGACACTGTTTGACTGGACGGACTACGAGGACATGAAGCCAGTGGATGCCTGGCCATCCTCCAGGAAGAAAGGTCAGCACTTTCTTCAAATACACATTTAGTCATCTCAGTTTGAGAAGATACAGCTAATATTAATGTTGGTTGAAAGTCACACATGAATAAGTGTTCACTCCCCCAAAAATCCTAATGATCCCTTTGCATGTGCTGAAGACAAGCGGCGCAGTAAGAACCTGAGCAGTGGCAACGTGACGGTGGACGCTGATGCCATCGAGCCATGTGACCACCACTTGGACTGCCTCCCAGGTCAGTGACTAAACTGTCCCCTATCCACTTCTCTGCTGACCCCTGACCCTTGACCTCTGGCCACTCAGGTCATCGTCTCATGAAAGCTCATTATGATAAAGGCCATGTGATGGTCGAAACATTCGCGTTTGAATTTACAACTGAAAGTCACTTTTCTTTGTGATTTCACCTCCGCCACACTGTTGGTAGATGAAGTGCAGTCTTCCAATCTGAGAGACTATGAGGGACAGTCTGGCTGGCATGAGTAGTGTTTGAAGCTGACCCGTGTGATGTGGTTCTCTTTCAAATACTTGTTTCAGTATCTCACTATGGGGACATACCTTCGGGTGGCGGAGTCACAGGAAGCTCCAATAACACGTCTGTCAAACACAGACAGGAAGCGTGGCAAATAGTGGGGAACCACACTCCTTATAAAATGCCACGGTAACACCCTCTACTTCATTATCAGTTTCTTCCTTCCCACCCTCTACTTCATTATCTGTTTCTTAACGGAGAACACAAGCTCTATCTATCTCTCCTCAGCACGACATGAACCACTGCTTTCCTGCTTAACTGTTCACAGGGGACCCGTACAGGACGCGTTGCCTAGCACAGGATAACAGCTTCGCATTGCATGAATTGAGCACACTTACCCAAAGGAAAAGTTTCCTTCACAGTTTACAGTCAACACTAGCACCACACGGCTAGCCTTCGCCCCAAAAGCCCACTTAGCTAACTTCTTTGTGCTGCTTTTTTCCCACCACGGTGAAAGAGAAAATAGACTTTTAATATTTGGTTAGCCCATGCTGCAAGGCAAACCTAGCTCACCAAAGAGTTATGCCACATATTTTTTCTTCAGCTAGCAGTATGCTAGCAATTAGCCCACGAGGTGAATGCTGGCTAGCTAATGCCAGGACTAGCTAGCTATACGGCTAAGCGTCAGCCAGCACAAGCATAGCCTGGACCCACTAGCCAGAGCTATGGCTACTACTACCCCTGCACAGGGTGAACCCAGCAGACCTCTGGCTTGCTCGTGCCCATGCGGGTCCTACATGTCAGGGAGGGACACACAATACCATCTGTGTTGACTGCTTGGGAATGGAGCATGTTCAGGCCGCTCTTGCTAACCTCGAGTCCTGCAAGCATGGCAAGGAGTTGCCTAAGTCAAGTCTCAAAAGTAGGGTGAGCCAGGCTGCCCATCCCGAGGCTCTTCTTCCTCCCAGCCTTCAGGCGAAGAGGCAACCCAACAACCCTGAATGAAACCAGCTGAGCTGAGGTTATGTACGGTCTCCTCCCGGATTTCCACCCGCTGTTCAACAAACTAGCAACAGGGAAGGGAGACAAGGGGATGTACGAAGAGGAGGATGACAGTATTCTGCACCATTTCCACAAAGAGGATGAAGAAGGGGAGGAAGACCCCCCTGGGGAGGAAGGGCCCCTCTCTCCCAGTATGGAGTACGGGCTGCTCCATGTGTACAAACGGGATGCAGCCAAGCTCAAGATTGAGTGAAATGCTGAAAGAGACTGAATCGATTGGAAGAGACTTCCATCCTGTACCGTCCCTGGGAAACAGGATGTCCCCGCGATTCCAGCATGCTTGGCTGAGGCCAAACACAACTGGGAAAAGCCCCTGTCGGGCAAGGTCCCAGCTAGGGACTTTGCTGCCATGGACATGCAGGGTATGGAGGAGCTGAGGTTCTGCAAACCCCTCCAGTAGAACCTTCTCTAGCTAACCACCTCCACCCCAAACACGGTGCCTGCTCCCTTGCCAGCATGTCTCTCCCTGGCCTGAATGTTTATCTTCCTCCATCCTCCAAAATGTGTATGTGTAGGGTGGAACTTCGCAGGACAGAAGGCGAGACTTTCAACTTCTGCCTGCCACATAGACCCGGGCCTCATCACGGTCCGACGTCCCCTGCAACGAGTCCGCGTAACTTCACGGCAGGACGAGGGCAGTACACTGGTGCCAGGGGCTCCGAACCCCCACCGTCGCAGCAGACTGCGAGGTCTCAGAGCAGAGGCAGGTCATGGGGCAAGCGGTCCTTCATTGCAGCCGCTTCAAAGTCCCACCCCGGCGATTACCCTGGAAGGGAAGTGGGGGCAACCATCCTGGGGTCTGTTCCCAGCGGCAAAAGGGAGCAGGGCACAGCTCACATGGTGTCTGGCCCTGCCCCCTCTCGGGCAGAAGGTAGACTTTCCACCTCCCCCCACAAAGCAGCGACCCATCGTTTTGTGTCCACGCACAGTGAAGACGGAGGGAGCCCACTTTCCCACCGAGTGTCCTCCATACTGTAGCTCTCCGCTTGGCACACATGCACTGTCCATCCCTTGGCAAACCCCCATCTTGGACATACAGGTCCTCAACAACTATCTAAGAAAGTTCACGTTACATATGCTTACGCACAACGTGCTGTCTCCCTCCATTTGGCAAGGCGATTGGTTCACTACAGTCAATCTGCAGGACGCTTATTTTCATATAAGTATTCTGCCAGCACACAGGAGATTTCTCGGGTTCGCCTATCAGGGCACAGCCTATATCTCGCTGTCCCCTTCGGGCTAGCACTAGCCCCTCGGACATTCAGCATGTGTGTAGACGCGGCCCTAACTCCCCTGAGATGCAGGGGACTCAGAATATCTGCCTACATAGATGCCTACCTGCTCTGCTCATACATACAGGAGCAGGCAGTGAGAGACACAGCTCTCCTTGTAACCTACCTCACAAAGTTAGGTTTCAGGATCAATCAGATAAAAAGCTGTTTAGTGTCCACATAAGAAATAGAATTTCTGGGCTTCGGACTGAATTATTTTTCTTTCCGGGCCACGCTATCAAACAGGCAAATCACAACGCTTCGCCAGTGCCTTTCCATGTTCAAATGGGATCATAAGGGTTCATTGGTGTTGATGGCCTCCACCATCTCAGTAGTTCCGTTGTGACTATTGAGGATGAGAAATGATCAGTGCTTGGTGTCTGCTCGACGCCTGTGTCCCCACTGTCACCTCAATCAGAGGATTACAGTGACCTCACCTTGCGTGGTGGCTCTCCGCCACTGGAGGGACCGCTCTGTCTTTGCTGGAGGCACTCCACTAGGGGTACCTGACTACAATCTCTGCCTGTCATATAGGCTTTGACAATAATACAGCGGGAAAACACCCCCTGATTTGTCATTTTATGAAGGGCACGTGTCGCTTATGCCCAGTGTCCAAGCCATTAGTCCCATCGTGGGATCTACCTATTGTGCTTGAGGTAATTTCACAGCAACCATTTGAGCCACTGGAAAGCGTAGGAATGTGATATCTCTCATTTAAAACTGCATTACTTTTAGCCATTACGTCCGCAAAGTGGGTGAGTGAGCTGCACGCACGGTCAGTCCACCACTCGTACCTGCTATTTGCCCTGGGGTTATCAAAGGTTACCTTACAACCTAACCCTGCCTTTACATCTAAGGTTAGCGGTGCTTACAATTGCCTCACTTTGGAGTTGCTAACCTTTCGCCCACCGCTTTTTTTCTGCACGGAAGAAGAGCATCTCCATCACTTCTGTCCAATGTGCACCTTGCGCATCTACATGGCAACGACGAGAGACCTACGACAGAGCGACCAGCTCTTTGTCTATTGGGCTCTGTAAGGGCAGGCCCATTTCTAGCCAGCGTCTATCCCACTGGATATGGAAGACTATTATATCGGCTTATAATAGCAAGGGTTTACCACCTCCGGAGGGCTTGAGCGCCCACTCCACCAGAGGTATGGCTGCATCATGGGCACTATTCAAAGGCATCTCTATCCAATAGATCTGTAATGCGGCATTTTGGGCTACCCCTCATACCTTTTATGAGGTTCTACCGACAATAATAATATGAGTGAAGTATAATATGAGTGAAGTATCTCACTACGTTTCCCTTCACACTGTGCGTAAGGATGAAAACATATGCTTGATAATGAAGTAGAGTGTGGGACCGTGGAGCCTTATAACATGTTGACCTGTGTTTTGGCTCACTGCCCCGCAATTTACTGCTTGTTTCTACAGCACCAACTTGCGAGTTGGTCATCTCCCGCTCATATAGTGTATGTGCAGCCAGGATCCATACGATGAGCAAGTCGTCCGCTTTCTCTCTGTTTGCCGTACTGGTGTGTGACTCGGGTGTGTGTTGCTTGTGTGTTTGCCATTTCACTGGATGTGCTTGTTTCAGGAAGCGGGGTGCGGGCTGTATTTACGAACCCACTGTAGCTTATAAAAAACTTTTAGTAAATTCCTGTAAACAAGAGAGACACAGAAGCCCAGCTAGCCTGTAGTTTCAAATGGAGGTTGCTAACTAATCTTTTCAAAGCTGCAGGAGCTGTGCTTATTTTGTTCTATTCTGGGACAATGTGGACCATCCAGACTTTCAATGTAGCAACTGTTTGCTTGCATTGGACTACAGGGGCGAAGTGGCTACTCTTAGCAAACAAGTAGCGAATTTACATAATCTACTGGGGAATCCATGTCCACCTACTTTTTCCTCTACTCCAGTTGCTGGATGCCGCTCTGGTGGGAGTGTCGCTGCCGTGTCGTCTCTCCACAGCCGACTGGCCGGTGCTCTGCAAGGATCCCTCCCCGAAGGGGTCTACCCCTTCCCTGGAGAATGGAGTTGGTAGGATGCTTCTGGATGTTCCTATTCTTGACCCTACCAACCAGCCATGGAGGCACATCATGGATGTCGAAAGAAGCGACCTTTGGCAATAGGGGCCTCCTTGGCGGTGGGAAGTCCGGACCAGATAAAGACTTCAAACAGCTTCGCCGCCCTGGATCAAGAGGTTCCGGCACCTTCATCCCCTGTTCTGTCTCCCTTGCCGGTGGCTTCTACAGGAAATGACATTTCGCTGGTTATGGGAGGCTTGAACCGGGTGCCAAGAGTTGCGAGCATGTGAGATTCCGCCTCTCACTAGTCCTCGACGGGTCTCACAAATCATGCGAGACGTAGGAATGGGCGTATTTCCTCTCATCTCGCCGGCTGTTGTTTTAGACAGCTCTATGGTAGGAAATGTCTTTGTTCCTGGACCAAAAACTCTGTGCTACTCCAGAGCTCGAATACAGGATATTACTAGGCTGCTCCCTACCATTCTACGTCAGCACACAGAGATTGATGCTGTTGTAGTCAAAGTGGAATTTAAAGACATTAGGAATGGTAGTTTGGAACGGCTGAAACAGGATTTTGAAGAACTGATTGTATCTCTGTTGCATTACAACCTGTAATTTAAATGGATTTTTATTTGGATTTCATGTAATGGACATACACAAAATAGTCAAAATTGGTGAATGAAATGAATGAATAAAGAAATTACTTGTTTCAAAAAATTCAAAAAAATAAATAACGGAAAAGTGGTGCATGCATATGTATTCACCCCCTTTGCTATGAAGCCCCTAAATAAGATCTGGTGCAACCAATTACCTTCAGAAGTCACATACAGTGGGGGAAAAAAGTATTTAGTCAGCCACCAATTGTGCAAGTTCTCCCACTTAAAAAGATGAGAGAGGCCTGTATTTTTCATCATAGGTACACGTCAACTATGACAGACAAAATGAGAAGAAAAAATCCAGAAAATCACATTGTAGGATTTTTAATGAATTTATTTACAAATTATGGTGGAAAATAAGTATTTGGTCAATAACAAAAGTTTCTCAATACTTTGTTATACTGTATACCCTTTGTTGGCAATGACACAGGTCAAACGTTTTCTGTAAGTCTTCACAAGGTTTTCACACACTGTTGCTGGTATTTTGGCCCATTCCTCCATGCAGATCTCCTCTAGAGCAGTGATGTTTTGGGGCTGTCGCTGGGCAACACAGACTTTCAACTCCCTCCAAAGATTTTCTATGGGGTTGAGATCTGGAGACTGGCTAGGCCACTCCAGGACCTTGAAATGCTTCTTACGAAGCCACTCCTTCGTTGCCCGGGCGGTGTGTTTGGGATCATTGTCATGCTGAAAGACCCAGCCACGTTTCATCTTCAATGCCCTTGCTGATGGAAGGAGGTTTTCACTCAAAATCTCACGATACATGGCCCCATTCATTCTTTCCTTTACACGGATCAGTCGTCCTGGTCCCTTTGCAGAAAAACAGCCCCAAAGCATGATGTTTCCACCCCCATGCTTCACAGTAGGTATGGTGTTCTTTGGATGCAACTCAGCATTCTTTGTCCTCCAAACACGACGAGTTGAGTTTTTACCAAAAAGTTCTATTTTGGTTTCATCTGACCATATGACATTCTCCCAATCCTCTTCTGGATCATCCAAATGCAAACTTCAGACGGGCCTGGACATGTACTGGCTTAAGCAGGGGGACACGTCTGGCACTGCAGGATTTGAGTCCCTGGCGGCGTAGTGTGTTACTGATGGTAGGCTTTGTTACTTTGGTCCCAGCTCTCTGCAGGTCATTCACTAGGTCCCCCCGTGTGGTTCTGGGATTTTTGCTCACCGTTCTTGTGATCATTTTGACCCCACGGGGTGAGATCTTGCGTGGAGCCCCAGATCGAGGGAGATTATCAGTGGTTTTGTATGTCTTCCATTTCCTAATAATTGCTCCCACAGTTGATTTCTTCAAACCAAGCTGCTTACCTATTGCAGATTCAGTCTTCCCAGCCTGGTGCAGGTCTACAATTTTGTTTCTGGTGTCCTTTGACAGCTCTTTGGTCTTGGCCATAGTGGAGATTGGAGTGTGACTGTTTGAGGTTGTGGACAGGTGTCTTTTATACTGATAACAAGTTCAAACAGGTGCCATTAATACAGGTAACGAGTGGAGGACAGAGGAGCCTCTTAAAGAAGAAGTTACAGGTCTGTGAGAGCCAGAAATCTTGCTTGTTTGTAGGTGACCAAATACTTATTTTCCACCATAATTTGCAAATAAATTCATAAAAAATCCTACAATGTGATTTTCTGGATTTTTTTCCCTCAATTTGTCTGTCATAGTTGACGTGTACCTATGATTAAAATTACAGGCCTCTCTCATCTTTTTAAGTGGGAGAACTTGCACAATTGGTGGCTGACTAAATACTTTTTTCACCACTGTAATTAATTAAATAAAGTCAACCTGAGTGCAATCTAAATGTCACATGATCTGTCACATGATCTTAGTATATATACACCTGTTCTGAAAGGCTCCAAAGTCTGCAACACCACTAAGCAAGGGGCACCACCAAGCAAGAGGCACCATGAAGACCAAGGAGCTCTCCAAACAGGTCAGGGACAAAGTTGTGGAGAAGTACAGATCAGGGTTGGGTTATAAAAAATATCAGAAACTTTGAACATCCCACGGAGCACCATTAAATCCATTATTAAAAAATGGAAAGAATATGGCACCACCACAAACCTGGCAAGAGATGGCCACCCACCAAAACTCACGGACCAGGCAAGGAGGGCATTAATCAGAGAGGCAACAAAGAGACCAAAGATAACCCTGAAGGAGCTGCAAAGCTCCACAGCGGAGATTGGAGTATCTGTCCATAGGACCACTTTAAGCCGTACAGTCCACAGAGCTAGGCAATACGGAAGAGTGGCCAGAAAAAAGCCATTGCTTGAAGAAAATAATAAGCAAACACATTTGGTGTTCGCCAAAAGGCATGTGGGAGACTCCACAAACATATGGAAGAAGGTACTCTGGTCAGATGACACTAAAATTGAGCTTTTTGGCCATCAAGGAAAACACTATGTCTGGCGCAAACCCAACACCTCTCATCACCCCGAGAACACCATCCCCACAGTGAAGCATGGTGGTGGCAGCATCATGCTGTGGGGATGGTTTTCATCGGCAGTGACTGGGAAACTGGTCAGAATTGAAGGGATGATGGATGGCGCTAAATATAGGGAAATTCTTGAGGGAAACCTGTTTCAGTCTTCCAGAGATTTGAGACTGGGACAGAGATTCACCTTCCAGCAGGACAATGACCCTAAGCATACTGCTAAAGCAACACTCGAGTGGTTTAAGGGGAAACATTTAAATGTCTTGGAATGGCCTAGTCAAAGCCCAGACCTCAATCCAATTGAGAATCTGTGGTATGACTTAAAGATTGCTGTACACCAGCGGAACCCATCCAACTTGAAGGAGCTGGAGCAGTTTTGCCTTGAAGAATGGGCAAAACTCCCAGTGGCTAGATGTGCCAAGCTTATAAAGACATACCCCAAGAGACTTGCAGCTGTAATTGCTGGGAGGATGTAAATCATTTGATCTATTTGTTGTGAAACTGAACATAACCCTAGAATGGTAGTTCCTGTTTCAGGATCAGGAGTGTATTGAAAATGTCAACATGTGCTGTAATTGCTGCAAAAGGTGGCTCTACAAAGTATTGACTTTGGGGGGGCGAATAGTTATGCACGCTCAAGTTTTCTGTTTTTTTGTCTTATTTCTTGTTTGTTTCACAAGAAAACATATTTTGCATATTCAAAGTGGTAGACATGTTGTGTTCATCAAATTATACAAACCCCCCAAAAATCCATTTTAATTCCAGGTTGTAAGGCAACAAAATAGAAAAAATGCCAAGGGGGGTGAATACTTTCGCAAGCCACTGTAATTTCCATTGGGCTCCCGAGTGGCGCAGCGGTCTAAGGCACTGCATCTCAGTGCTTGAGGCGTCACTACAGACAGATTCCAGGCTGTATCACAACCGGCCGTGATTGGGAGTCCCATAGGGCAGCGTACAATTGGCCCAGCGTTGTCCGGGTTTGGCTGGTGTAGGCCGTCATTGTAAATATGAATTTGTTCTTAACTGACTTGCCTAGTTAAATAAAGGTAAAATACAATTTTTAAAAAAGGAACCCACTGTTGTTAGCTCCCCCTTATGTGTATATCAAGCGATCGTATTGCTGCATTATTGAAGTTGCACACATGGGGAAAATGTTTAGTAGCCTAGGGTCCAGGAAAATGTTGGCCTTTTTATAAACTCATTTCATGCAATTCTATGTCATTTTACATGACTGGAGACTTTGGCAGAATATTTTTTAATACCGCCCAAGTTATCGAAATGGCAGGCTACTTTGACACTGACAAATTGATAATCTGAGATCAATAAAAACGACCTTGTCTTGAATCCATCAATAGCCTAGGCCTAGGTGTGTGGAGACATATTGTAGGCTATATGAGGAGGAAATTATAGTCCTAAAAATGTTTTCCAGTTTCACTGACTCACCCAATGGTGCGCAGCTCACTCACAGGTGATGGCCGATGTGCTCGTGCCAAAAGCCCCTCTCTCTCTTTTGTAAAACAATATTTGTACGTTTATCATATATTTTGGTAGCCTACAGCATAGTCTTCTCTTTTCAGAAGGAGCCATTTGCTTTCTAACCTGTGTTTTCCCTCGATTGTATTTGAAATATTGCGAAAGGCCTGTTTTGTCTGGGTGCTGTTTTTTCACTGACACACCCGACTGTAAGCTATTCCTTGTTATTGGGCTACAATCCACAGCTATTGATCATCTGTATCTAAATTATAGGCCTTCTCATGGTGTAGTAGGCTATTCTGAATTATTTAATTTATTTCTGAAGAGACAGCAGTAATTCTATAACTTTGGCAAATGTATTTAAATTTATCAGGGGTGCTGCGGTTCGTTCAGAATCCTTTGTGTGGCTATGATTCTTTAAGTGTCGGTCTCAAACATACAGTACCAGTCAAAAGTTTGGACACACCTACTCATTCAAGGGCTTTTCTTTAATTTTACTATTTTCTACATTGTAGAATAATAGTGAAGACATAAAAACTATGAAATAACACATATGGAATCATGTAGTAACCAAACAAGTATTAAACAAATCAAAATATATTTTATATTTGAGATTCTTCAAAGTAGCCACCCTTTGCCTTGATGACAACTTTGCACACTCTTGGCATTCTCTCAACCAGCTTCACCTGGAATGCTTTTCCAACAGTCTTGAAGGAGTTCCCACATATGCTGAGCACTTGTTGGATTCTTTTTTTTCACTCTGCGGTCCAGCTCATCCCAAACCATCTCAATTGGGTTGAGGTCGGGTGATTGTGGAGGCCAGGTCATTTGATGCAGCACTCCATCACTCTCCTTCTTGGTCAAATAGCCCTTACACAGCCTGGAGGTGTGTTGGGTCATTGTCCTGTTGAAAAACAAATGATAGTCCCACTAAGCGCAAACCGGATGGGATGGCGTATCGCTGCAGAATGCTGTGGTAGCCATGCTGGTCAAGTGTGCCTTGAATTCTAAATAAATCACAGACAGTGTCACCAGCAAAGCACCTCCTCCATGCTTCACGGTGGGAACCACACATGCGGAGATCATCCGTTCACCTACTCTGCGTCTCACAAAGACACGGCGGTTGGAACCAAAAATCTCAAATTTGGACTCATTAGACCAAAGGACAGATTTCCACCGGTCTAATGCCCATAGCTCGTGTTTCTTGGCCCAAGCACATCTATTCTTCTTATTGGTGTCCTTTAGTAGTGGTTTCTTTGCAGCAATTCGACCATGAAGGCCTGATTCACGCAGTCTCCTCTGAACAGTTGATGTTGAGATGTGTCTGTTACTTGAACTCTGTGAAGCATTTATTTGGGATGCAATTTCTGAGGCTGGTAACTCTAATGAACTTATCCTCTGCAGCAGAGGTAACTCTGTGTCTTCCTTTCCTGTGGCGGTCCTCATGAGAGCCAGTTTCATCATAGTGCTTGATGGACTTGGTGTTTTACCAAATAGGGCAATCTTCTGTATACCTTGTCACAACACAACTAATTGGCTCAAACGCATTAAGAAGGAAAGAAATTCCACAAATTAACAAGGCACACCTGTTAATTGAAATGCATTCCAGGTCACTACCTAATGAAGCTGGTTGAGAGAATGCCAAGAGTGTGCCAAACTGTCATCAAGGCAAAGGGTGGCTACTGTGAAGAATTAACTAAGAGGCAACTCGAATGAACTTTGATTGCTTTTATTCAAAATATTACATTGCAAAAAGTGACAATTATTTGTCATGCCAGCAGAGGCACCGGATCCGGCCAAATAGGTTCCGGAACAAAACAGTCCAAAACGGAGAGGTGCCGGATTCTGTTCCGGCAGGATCCGGCTCAAATTAAGCACTGGGATTTGTCAATAGTAATCTTGTGCACATTTATCTGAATTCTACTTAGCTCTGTCACTTTGAATCCAATCAGGAAGCCCATTGTGGCAAGCTCATCCAATTCTATTGACTCTTGTGTCAACATGGATACTCCTGCTGTTTTCAAATCTCACAGAGAGCTTGGCCTGTTACATATACAGTGAGGGAAAAAAGTATTTGATCCCCTGCTGATTTTGTACGTTTGCCCACTGACAAAGACATGATCAGTCTATAATTTTAATGATAGGTTTATTTGAACAGTGAGAGACAGAATAACAACAAAAAAATCCAGAAAAACGCATGTGAAAAATGTTATGAATTGATTTGCAGTTTAATGAGGGAAATAAGTATTTGACCCCTCTGCAAAACATGACTTAGTACTTGGTGGCAAAACCAGACGTTTCTTGTAGTTGGCCACCAGGTTTGCACACATCTCAGGAGGGATTTTGTCCCACTCCTCTTTGCAGATCTTCTCCAAGTCATAAATGTTTCGAGCCTGACGTTTGGCAACTCGAACCTTCAGCTCCCTCCACAGATTTTCTATGATATTAAGGTCTGGAGACTGGCTAGGCCACTCCAGGACCTTAATGTGCTTCTTCTTGAGCCACTCCTTTGTTGCCTTGGCCGTGTGTTTTGAGTCACTGTCATGCTGGAATACCCCGCCACGACCCATTTTCAATGCCCTGGCTGAGGGAAGGAGGTTCTCACCCAAGATTTGACGGTACATGGCCCCGTCCATCGTCCCTTTGATGCGGTGAAGTTGTCCTGTCCCCTTAATAGAAAAACACCCCTAAAGCATAATGTTTCCACCTCCATGTTTGACAGTGGGGATGGTGTTCTTGGGGTCATAGGCAGCATTCCTCCTCCTCCAAACAAGGCGAGTTGAGTTGATGCCAAAGAGCTCGATTTTGGTCTCATCTGACCACAACACTTCCACCCAGTTCTCCTCTGAATCATTCAGATGTTCATTGGTAAACTTCAGACAGGCCTATACAGTGGCGAGAACAAGTATTTGATACACTGCCGATTTTGCAGGTTTTCCTACTTACAAAGCATGTAGAGGTCTGTAATTTTTATCATAGGTACACTTCAACTGTGAGAGACGGAATCTAAAACAAAAATCCAGAAAATCACATTGTATGATTTTTAAGCAATTAATTTGCATTTTATTGCATGACATAAGTATTTGATCACCTACCAACCAGTAAGAATTCCGGCTCTCACAGACCTGTTAGTTTTTCTTTAAGAAGCCCTCCTGTTCTCCACTCATTACCTGTATTAACTGCACCTGTTTGAACTCGTTACCTGTATAAAAGACACCTGTCCACACACTCAATCAAACAGACTCCAACCTCTCCACAATGGCCAAGACCAGAGAGTTGTGTAAGGACATCAGGGATAAAATTGTAGACCTGCACAAGGCTGGGGTGAGCTACAGGACAATAGGCAAGCAGCTTGGTGAGAAGGCAACAACTGTTGGCGCAATTATTAGAAAATGGAAGAAGTTCAAGATGACGGTCAATCACCCTCTGTCTGGGGCTCCATGCAAGATCTCACCTCGTGGGGCATCAATGATCATGAGGAAGGTGAGGGATCAGCCCAGAACTACACAGCAGGACCTGGTCAATGACCTGAAGAGAGCTGGGACCACAGTCTCAAAGAAAACCATTAGTAACACACTACGCCGTCATGGATTAAAATCCTGCAGCACACGCAAGGTCCCCCTGCTCAAGCCAGCGCATGTCCAAGCCCGTCTGAAGTTTGCCAATGACCATCTGGATGATCCAGAGGAGGAATGGGAGAAGGTCATGTGGTCTGATGAGACAAAAATAGAGCTTTTTGGTCTAAACTCCACTCGCCGTGTTTGGAGGAAGAAGAAGGATGAGTACAACCCCAAGAACACCTTCCCAACCATGAAGCATGGAGTTGGAAACATCATTCTTTGGGGATGCTTTTCTGCAAAGGGGACAGGACGACTGTACCGTATTGAGGGGAGGATGGATGGGGCCATGTATCGCGAGATCTTGGCCAACAACCTCCTTCCCCCAGTAAGAGCATTGAAGATGGGTCGTGGCTGGGACTTCCAGCATGACAACGACCCGAAACACACAGCCAGGGCAACTAAGGAGTGGCTCCATAAGAAGCATCTCAAGGTCCTGGAGTGGCATAGCCAGTCTCCAGACCTGAACCCAATAGAATATCTTTGGAGGTAGCTGAAAGTCCGTATTACCCAGCGACAGCCCTGAAACCTGAAGGATCTGGAGAAGGTCTGTATGGAGGAGTGGGCCAAAATCCCTGCTGCAGTGTGTGCAAACCTGGTCAAGACCTACAGGAAACGTATGATCTCTGTAATTGCAAACAAAGGTTTCTGTACCAAATATTAAGTTCTGCTTTTCTGATGTATCAAATAGTTATGTCATGCAATAAAATGCAAATTAATTACTTAAAAATCATACAATGTGATTTTCTGGATTTTTGTTTTAGATTCCGTCTCTCACAGTTGAAGTGTACCTATGATAAAAATTACAGACCTCTACATGCTTTGTAAGTAGGAAAACCTACAAAATCGGCAGTGTATCAAATACTTGTTCTCCCCACTGTATATGTGCTTTCTTGAGCAGGGGGACCTTGAGGGCGCTGCAGGATTTCAGCCCTTCACGGCGTAGTGTGTTATCAATTGTCTTCTTGGTGACTATGGTCCCAGCTGCCTTGAGATCATTGACAAGATCCTCCTGTGTAGTTCTGGGCTGATTCCTCACCGTTTTCATGATCATTGCAACTCCACGAGGTGAGATCTTGCATGGAGCCCCAGGCCGAGGGAGATTGACAGTTATTTTGTGTTTCTTCCATTTGCGAATAATCGCACCAACTGTTGTCACCTTCTCACCAAGCTGCTTGGCAATGGTCTTGTAGCCCATTTCAGCCTTGTGTAGGTCTACTATCTTGTCCCTGACATCCTTGGAGAGCTCTTTGGTCTTGGCCATGGTGGAGAGTTTGGAATCTGATTGATTGATTCCTTCTGTGGACAGGTGTGGACACTCCCTTTAAGAGTGTGCTCCTAATCTCAGCTTGTTACCTGTATAAAAGACACCCGGGAGCCAGAAATCTTTCTGATTGAGAGGGGGTCAAATACTTATTTCCCTCATTAAAATGCAAATCAATTTATAACATTTTTGACATGCATTTTTCTGGATCTTTTTGTTGTTATTCTGTCTCTCACTGTTCAAATAAACCTACCATTAAAATTATAGACTGATCATGTCTTTGTCAGTGGGCAAACGTACAAAATCAGCAGGGGATCAAGTACTTTTTTCCCTCACTGTATGTGACCGACCGGCTTGATTCGGTCTTACGTAGCAAAATTTGAAATTGTGTTTTTTACATTGGATAAAAGTAGAGACTCAGAGCTAGAAAATGGTATATCATACACTACAGTTGAGGAACAATGGGAAAGTAATTCCGCTTTGAAAGTTGATAAACTTGTAACCTCACTTTTGAGAAAGCTTTTTTTTACTAGCTGCATACCAGGACCCAGTTTTGGCACTTTCATTTTTCTCATCCATTTTGACCTCTCTGGCTGATAAACATGCCCCTTTCAAGCAACTCAGAGTCAAAAACCGAACTAATCCATGGTACTCTCCTGTACTCTCAGACCTCCTCTTGGTAAGAAATCAAGCCTGGGCGAAGACAAACTGGCTCGTTAGCTGATTGGCAGCTATTTGGGCAGTTGAGAAATGGGTGCACTGCCTCGGTTAAACAGGTGAAATCAAACTAGTTCCTTAGCGCTGTGGCAGACTCTGTTAGTGATCACTCTAAATTCTGGATAACCGTTAATTCACTGAAGCGGGGTAATTCCTCTACCTCCCTGCCTAAGCAAGTAGTTTTAGCATCATTACTGAAAATGTTAAGATTTGTGATGCTTTTAATCAGCATTTTATCTCAGCTGGTTTCTTACTTGAAAGATTTGGTGGTCAAACTGGTCTTGGCGAGTCAGTTGACTGTTCTTCCCACATACAGCTTTCAGTTGCCTCGATGGAATCAGTCGACTCGGGAAATGGTAGTCCGGGTTTTTCTTTTTGGCAACTCACAGAAACAGAAGTTATTTCTGCGTTATTAGCTATTGACACCAAGATGTCATTAGGGGCTGTCAATTTCGACCCGTCTTTGCAGCACCCCTCATTGCTTGCTCAGTAACACACATTTTTTATTTAACTTTAGTATCAGGAAATATTCCAAAAGTGTGGAAAGCAGCTTTTGTGTTGACACTCCATAAAGGCGGGATAGTAATGATCTTGATAATTATCTACCTATTTCCATGCTCCCTTGTCTTGCGAAAATCCTAGAATAATTTGTCAACAAACAGCTACGTTATTTTCTATCTGTAAATGGTATTCTTAATGTTAATCAATCTGGATTCAGACCTGAACATAGTACAACTATGGCTACCATGCTTGTTGTAAATTATATTGTAAATGCCTTAGATGATAGAAAGAATTGTGCCGCCATGTTTGTAGACTTGTTAAAAGCTTTTGATACTGTAGACCATGTTATTCTGTTGAATAAGCTGTCATCTATAGGGTTGGGTACTTATGCTTGCCGATGGTTTCATAATGACCTCAACGACAGAACTCAGGCCATCAAGGTATATGGGGTCAAATCTGAGTTCCTTGAGTTACATAAAGAGGTGCCCCAAGGTTCAAATACTCGGCCCACTACTGTTTGTATGCAAATGATAGTGTTGTATTCCATTGCTCCATCGGTTGGCTAAGCCTTTTCAAATTTGAAATCAGATTTTCTAGCACTGCGGAGATCACTTCTGGATCTAAAGTTAGTGCTAAAAGCAAAACAAAACAAAATGCATGCTTTTTTTCTAGGTCCCATAACCCAGTTTTAAATGAATTTGTAATGACTAGTTTGAACGGTACACAAATTGAGCGAGTTCCTTCCTACAAATATCGTGGTATCTTGCTTCATGATAAACTGTCATTTAAAAAACATGTCACTGAGGGCCTCCCGAGTGGTGCAGCGGTCTAAGTGGCGCAGTGGTCTAAGGCACTGTATCGCAGTCACTACAGACCCGGGTTCGATCCCAGGCTGTGTCACAGCCGGCCGTGACCGGTACACCCATGAGGCGGTGCACAATTGGCCCAGCGTCGTCCAGGTTAGGGGAGGGTTAGGCCGACCGCAATGTCCTTGTCCCATCGCGCTCTAGCTACTCCTTGTGGCGGCCAGGTGCCTGCAAGCTGAATTCGGTTGCCAGCTGGACGGTGTTTCCTCCGACACATTGGTGCGGCTGGCTTCCGGGTTAAGCGAGCAGTGTGTCAAGAAGCAGTGCAGAGCTTGGCAGGGTCGTGTTTCGGATGACGCATGGCTCTTGACCTTCGCCTCTCCCAAGTCCGTAGGGGAGTTGCATCGATGAGACAAGACTGTAACAACTAATTGGATATCACGAAATTGGGGAGAAAAAGGGGTAAAAGTACCCCCCCAAAAAAGAAAAAAACATGTCACTGAGCTGGTGTTGAAGTTCAAGTTACAGAAACAAAGCATGTCTGACTTTTGTTAATAGGAAGGAAATTGTCCAGACCACTATTATGTCTATTTTAGATTATGGGGATATTATCTATATGCATGCAGCAGCATCTACACTTAAACCACTAGATGCTGTTTTCCATTGTGCCCTTAGAAGTCTGTTTTGTATCAAAAAGTAGGTTGGGCCTCTTTGTATGTAAGGAGAGAGCAGCATTCTCTTGTGTTTATTTACAAAGCTCTCATGCAGAAACTTCCTATGTATCTATCATCGTTAATTCAATTTAGATTTACAAATGACCAAACCCGGTCACAGGCTTGGAACAGTGGAGGCCCCTTCGGTCTCCACGGAGTTGGGTAAAGCTGCTTTTAGTTTTTTTTTGTTCACAGATATCTCTGAAATTAGATGTTCTGGTCCCCTATGGTCAGTTCAGATAAATGATCAGAGACCTCTTTGTTGATAAATGTGTCTGTTTTTCTTATTATGTTTTGTAATTTTGTATATTGTATGTTGCATATATGTTTGATGTATTTATGCAGGGCTCATCTGAAAAATATACCCTAGTCGCCGTATGACTATGGGGCCCTGTAAAAATAAAGGTTTAATAATAAGGAGTGGGGTTCCCCACTATTCACCACGCTTCCTGTCTGTTTTCGACAGAGTTGTGTGATTGAAGCTTCCTGTGACTGCCCCAAAAGGCACCCCATAGTGATATACTTCACTCATATTATCAGAGAACCGGAGTTACGCAAATAACCTTACGTTTCTCCCTCCACCCCACCCATAGGCTCCTGCTGTGACCTGAGACAGCACGAGTGCAAGCCTCACAACCGCGGCCTCAACAACAAGTGCTATGATGACTGCATGTGCGAGGAAGGTGAGTAAGGGACGTAACAGGCCAAGGCCACAGAGCATCAGAAAATGTAAGCGAGAACACAACCAACATTAAGAGACCACTGCAAAAATATAAGTTTCTCTGGTTTGACTATTTATAGGTATGTGTTTGGGTGAAATTAACATTTTTGTTTTATTCTATAAACTACTGATAACATTTCTCCCAAATTCCAAATAAAAATATTGTCATTTAGAGCATTTATTTGCAGAAAATGACAACTGGTCAAAATAACATAAAAAAGCAATGTTGTCAGACCTCGAATAATGCAAAGAAAATAAGTTCATGTTCGTTTTTAAACAACACAATATTAATGTTTTAACTAAGGAAGAGTTCAGAAATCAATATTTGGTGGAATAACCCTGATTTTCAATCACGATTTTCAATCACAGCTTTCATGCGTCTTGGCATGCTCTCCCCAGTCTTTCACATTGATGTTGGGTGACTTTATGGCACTCCTGGCGCAAAATTCAAGCAGCTTGGCTTTGTTTGATGGCTTGTGACCATCCATCTTCCTCTTGATCACATTCCAAAAGTTTTCAATGGGGTTCAGGTCTGGAGATTGGGCTGGCCATGACAGGATCTGGTGGTCCTCCATCCACACCTTGATTGACCTGGCTGTGTGGCATGGCACATTGTCCTGCTGGAAAAACCAATCCTCAGAGTTGGGGAACAATGTCAGAGCAAAAGGAAGCAAGTTTTCTTCCAGGACAACCTTGTACGTGGCTTGATTCATGCGTCCTTCACAAAGACAAATCTGCCCGATTCCAGCATTGCTGAAGCACCCCCAGATCATCACCGATCCTCCACCAAATTTCACAGTGGGTGTGAGACACTGTGGCTTGTAGGCCTCTCCAGGTCTCTGTCTAACCATTAGACAACCAGGTGTTGGGCAAAGCTGAAAATTGGACTCATCAGAGAAGATGACCTTACTCCAGTCCTCTACGGTCCAATCCTTATGGTCTTTTGCAAACCTCAGCCTGGCTCTTCTTTGCTTCTCATTGATGAAGGGCTTTTTTCTAGCTTTGCACGACTTCAGCCCTGCCCCTAGGAGCCTGTTTCGAACTGTCCTCGCCGTGCACTTCACCCCAGCTGCCGTTTGCCATTCTTTTTGTAGGTCACTTAATGTCATCCTACGGTTGTTGAGTGACATTCGAATGAGTTGGCGGTCATCCCGGTCAGTAGAGAGTCGTTTTCGCCCTCTGCCGGTCTGTAGCTTTGTTGTCCCCAATGTCTGCTGCTTGACCTTGTTCTTATGAACCGCCGTCTTTGAAATTTTAAGGATGGAAGCAACCTGACGCTCACTGTATCCCTCTGTCAGTAAAGCCAGAATTGAACCCTTCTTTTCCTCACTCAAAACTTTCCTTTTCAACTCTTTTGGCATGGTCAATAGTTTTTTTTTAAAAATTAATATTACTTTTGAGGTACTATTAGCACTGTTTTTGCCATCCAGCTGGTCCTATTGCAAGAGGATAGTGATGACCACAGCAGTGGTTTTTATACTTTTCCTTGTTAAATAAGATTTGGTTCATGTGATCACCTAATCAGTACCTCATTCAGTAGAATGAGGTGTGCCTGTGTTGGAATTCAACAGACACTGGAATGGAATGGCTGTCATACATGTAGAGATGCTGATTTAAGAAACATTTGCAGTGGTCTCTTAATTTTTTCCAGAGCTTGTAGGGCTCAGTTTCTGATGTCAGTAGCCTGCTTCTCCATCTTCTGACAGCGTTCATATTAATTTGTCTCAGGGTTCCGTTGCTATGCCAAATTCCACCGGAAGCGTCGTGTGACCAGGCGAAGGGGTCGTTGCGTGGTGCCAGAGTCAGCCAACAGTGACCAGGGGGCCTTCATCACAGTGTGAGGGGTCACAGACACACACCAGAAGCCCCCAACACACACCACACACTGAACATGACCACTCTCTCTGACATAACAGACAGACAGTGTCTAGAGATAGTTCATTCAGAATTTTCATACTACTCATCTGGTCTCCCCCACTTCAGTGCCACAGAATCACATACATGTACACATTAGTTCCAAAACAACAACTGTGCAGTGTCTGATTATCTGTGTCCTGAACATATGAATGTGTTTTCTGAGAATGGATAGATTGTCAATGGCTTTTCTACTGATACTGTCACACTGCTCTTTAAAGGTGATTAGTATGATAACCAACAATGTTTGTTTGAGTTTCCTTTTCTATGTTTTAATATATGTTTTATTTATACAATACTTAGAACAGAATTATATGTCTATATTGTGTTTTCTCAACCTCATTTTATGTGATTAAATTCTTGTACATTGATGACCGTTGTTCTGAGTGTTCTTGAGTGTTTTCTTCATCTTATGGACGGATGATTTTTTTAGGCAGGGCAGAGACAGGCTTGGTTAAGATTCTTATCATCATGTTGCCTCTATATGTTCAGTATGCTTAGTCATGGGGCTCAGGGTCTTATGAAACGTTATACTCCATGACACCAGTGAGGATAATTCTTCTCAGTACTCTGTGGAGACGGATGTGATAGTTGGTTCCAAAGAGCCACACGAGCTCTGAGGTTGGGGCTCTAGATGCCCCCCGCTCTCAGTGGGATGCTGTGTGTCAAGGCCCAGGGTTCCCTGGAGGAGGACAGATGCGCTCTCTCTCTCTCACGCTCTCTCTCATCCTCTCACTCTCTCTCACCCTCTCTCTCTCAAGACTTGCACTACAGAGTGTAAAGAAAATGAAATCAATGACATCAAGTGTACAGTGCTATGAAAAAGTATTTGCCCCCTTTCTAATTTTCTCCACTTTTGCATATTTGTGATACTGAATGTTATCAGATCTTCAACCAAAACCTAATATTAGATAAAGGGAACATAAGTGAACAAATAACACAACAATTACATATTTATTTCATAAGCAAAGTTATGCAACACCCAATTCCCCTGTGTGAAAAAGTAATTGCCCCCTTACACTCAATAACTGGTTGTGCCACCTTTAGCTACAATGACTCCAACCAAATGCTTCCTGTAGTTGTTGCTTTTTAGCAATTTTCATGTAGACTTGATTGTGTGTTTTGGATCATTGTCTTGCTGCATGACCCAGCTGCGCTTCAGCTTCAGCTCACAGACGGATGGTCTGACATTCTCCTGTAGAATTCTCTGATACAGAGCAGAATTCATGGTTCCTTCTATTAAGGCAAGTCGTCCAGGTCCTGAGGCAGCAAAGCATCCCCAAACCAGTGTTTGGTTTTCGCCAGGCATTACTGGAACCATGTCGTCCAAAAAATTATACTTTTGAATCATCTGTCCATAGAACGTTCTTCCAAGAGTCTTGATGATCATCCAGGTGCTTTTTGACAAACTTTAGTCAACTTTTTGGACGAGATGGGTCCCATTATGCCTGGCGAAAACCAAACACTGCATTCCACTGCATTCCACAGTAAGAACATCATACCAAAGGTCAAGCATGGTGGTGGTGGTGTGATGGTTTGGGGATGCTTTGCTGCCTCAGGACCTGGACGACTTGCCTTAATAGAAGGAACCATGAATTCTGCTCTGTATCAGAGAATTATACAGGAGAATGTCAGACCATCCGTCTGTGAGCTGAAGCTGAAGCGCAGCTGGGTCATGCAGCAAGACAATGATCCAAAACACACAATCAAGTCTACATGAAAATTGCTAAAAAGCAACAAATTGGAAGTTTTGGAATGGCCTGGTCAAAGTCCAGACCTAATCCCAATTGAGATGTTGTGGTAGGACATGAAACGAGCAGTTCATGCTTGAAAACCCACACGTCACTGAGTTAAAGCAGTTCTGCATGGAAGAGTGGGCCAAAATTCCTCCACAGCGACTTGAGAGACTGATCAACAACTACAGGAAGCATTTGGTTGGAGTCATTGCAGCTAAAGGTGGCACAACCAGTTATTGAGTGTAAGGGGGCAATTACTTTTTCACACAGGGGAATTGGGTGTTGCATAACTTTGCTTATGAAATAAATATGTAATTGTTGTGTTATTTGTTCACTTATGTTCCCTTTATCTAATATTAGGTTTTGGTTGAAGATCTGATAACATTCAGTATCACAAATATGCAAAAGTAGAGAAAATTAGAAAGGGGGCAAATACTTTTTCATAGCACAGTATATTGTGTATTGGTGAGTGAAACATTAGCTCCCACTCCCACCACACAATTGTACCTGTATCAATATCTGATCAGGCATAGTAACAATCGTTTTTCTTCCCAAACAATCAGCACACTGGGAGCACTCTGATTTACGGCCTTGGAAAAAAAAGGGGTTGTGATGTATTCAATAATAACCTCAGAGAAAGTGCAGTGCTACTGAGCGCAATGCTGGAACTTGGAGAGCAGCCAATCGAATGATAGATCACCCCCAGCCAGATGGTGGCAGGATACATAGGGAACGGTGGCATCACTAATGGACCTGCCTAGACTGTAAAACAGCCTGTAAACAGAAGGAGTGGGGAATTGTTCTTTAACACTTAGTGTATGGGAAGATGGAAAATGGAATTTTGGGGGGTTTGTATCATTTGATTTACACAACATGCCTACCACTTTGAAGATGCAAAATATTTTATATTGTGAAATAAGACAAAAAATAACAGAACTTGAGCGTGCATAACTATTCAACCCCCCAAAGTCAATACTTTGTAGAGCCACCTTTTACAGCAATTACAGTTGCAAGTTTCTTGGGGTATGTCTCTATAAGCTTGGCACATCTAGCCACTGGGAGTTTTGCCCATTCTTCAAGGCAAAACTGCTCCAGCTCCTTAAAGTTGGATGGGTTCCGCTGGTGTACAGCAATCTTTAAGTCATACCACAGATTCTCAATTTGATTGAGGTCTGGGCTTTGACTAGGCCATTCCAAGACATTTAAATGTTTCCCCTTAAACCACTCGAGTGTTGCTTTAGCAGTATGCTTAGGGTCATTGTCCTGCTGGAAGGTGAACCTCTGTCCCAGTCTCAAATCTCTGGAAGACTGAAACAGGTTTCCCTCAAAAATATCCCTGTATTTAGCGCCATCCATCATTCCTTCAATTCTGACCAGTTTCCCAGTCCCTGCCGATGAAAAACATCCCCACAGCATGATGCTGCCACCACCATGCTTCACTGTGGGGATGGTGTTCTCGGGGTGATGAGAGGTGTTGGGTTTGCGCCAGACATAGCGTTTTCCTTGATGGCCAAAAAGCTCAATTTTAGTCTCATCTGACCAGATGACCTTCTTCCATATGTTTGGGGAGTCTCCCACCAAATGTGTTTGCTTATTTTCTTCTTTAAGCAATGGCTTTTTTCTGGCCACTCTTCCGTAAAACCCAGCTCTGTGGAGTGTACGGCTTAAAGTGGTCCTATAGACAGATACTCCAATCTCCGCTATGGAGCTTTGCAGCTCCTTCAGGGTTATCTCTGGTCTCTTTGTTGCCTCTCTGATTAATGCCCTCCTTGCCTGGTCCGTGAGTTTTGGTGGGTGGCCCTCTCTTGCCAGGTTTGTGGTGGTGCCATATTCTTTCCATTTTTAAATAATGGATTTAATGGTGCTCCGTGGGATGTTCAAAGTTTCTGATCTTTTTTATAACCCAACCCAACCCAGCACAACAGACCCGTAGCACTGACGTCTGTAGCCATGAAGTGCTTTGAAAGACTGGTCATGGCTCACATCAACAGCATAATCCCAGAAACCCTAGACCCACTCCAATTTGCATACCGCCCCAACAGATCCACAGATGATGCAATCTCTATCGCACTCCACACTGCCCTTTCCCACCTGGACAAGAGGAACACCTACGTGAGAATGCTATTCATTGACTACAGCTCAGCATTCAACACCATAGTGCCCTCTAAGCTCATCACTAAGCTAAGGATCCTGGGACTAAACACCTCCCTCTGCAACTGGATCCTGGACTTCCTGATGGGCCGCCCCCAGGTGGTAAGGGTAGGTAACAACACATCTGCCACACTGATCCTCAACACGGGGGCCCCTCAGGGGTGCGTGCTCAGTCCCCTCCTGTACTCTCTGTTCACCCATGACTGCATGGCCAGGCACGACTCCAACACCATCATTAAGTTTGCCGACGACACAACAGTGGTAGGCCTGATCACCGACAACGATGAGACAGCCTATAGGGAGGAGGTCAGAGATCTGGCCGTGTGGTGCCAGGACAACAACCTCTCCCTCAACGTGACCAAGACAAAGGAGATGATTGTGGACTACAGGAAAAAAAAGAGGACTGAGCACGCCCCCATTCTCATCGACGGGGCTGTAGTGGAACAGGTTGAGAGCTTCAAGTTCCTTGGTGTCCACATCACCAACGAACTATCATGGTCCAAACACACCAAGACAGTCGTGAAGAGGGCACGACAAAGCCTATTCCCCCTCAGGAGACTAAAAAGATTTGGCATGGGTCCTCAGATCCTCAAAAAATTCTACAGCTGCACCATCGAGAGCATCCTGACTGGTTGCATCACCGCCTGGTATGGCAACTGCTTGGCCTCTGACCGCAAGGCACTACAGAGGGTAGTGCGTACGGCCCAGTACATCACTGGGGCAAAGCTCCCTGCCATCCAGGACCTCTATACCAGGCGGTGTCAGAGGAAGGCCCTCAAAATTGTCAAAGACTCCAGCCACCCTAGTCATAGACTGTTCTCTCTGCTACCGCACGGCAAGCGGTACCGGAGTGCCAAGTCTAGGTCCAAAAGACTTCTCAACAGCTTCTACCCCCAAGCCATAAGACTCCTGAACAGCTAATCATGGCTACCCGGACTATTTGCACTGCCCCCCCACCCCATCCTTTTTACGCTGCTGCTACTCTGTTAAGTAAGTATTTATGCATAGTCACTTTAACTCTACCCACATGTACATATTACCTCAACTACCTCAACTAGCCGGTGCCCCCGCACATTGACTCTGCAACGGTACCCCCCTGTATATATAGCCTCCCTACTGTCACTTTATTTTACTGTATATATTCTCCCTACTGTCACTTTATTTTACTTCTGCTCTTTTTTTCTCAACACTTTTTTTGTTGTTGTTTTATTCTTACTTTTTTTGTTTAAAATAAATGCACTGTTGGTTAAGGGCTGTAAGTAAGCATTTCACTGTAATGTCTGCACCTGTTGTATTCGGCGCATGTGACCAATAAAATTTGATTTGATTTGATTTGATTTGATTTGTACTTCTCCACAACTTTGTCCCTGACCTGTTTGGAGAGCTCCTTGGTCTTCATGGTGCCTCTTGCTTGGTGGTGCCTCTTGCTTAGTGGTGTTGCAGACTTTGGAGCCTTTCAGAACAGGTGTATATATACTGAGATCATGTGACAGATCATGTGACACTTAGATTGCACAGAGGTGGACTTTATTTAACTAATTATGTGACTTCTGAAGGTAATTGGTTGCACCAGATCTTATTTAGGGGCTTCATAGCAAAGGGGGTGAATACATATGCACGCACCACTTTTCCGTTATTTACTTTTTAGAATTTTTTGAAACAAGTTATTTTTTTCATTCCACTTCACCAATTTGGACTATTTTGTGTATGTCCATTACATGAAATCCAAATAAAAATCAATTTAAATTACTGGTTGTAATGCAACAAAATAGGAAAAACGCCAAGGGGGATGAATACTTTTGCAAGGCACTGTATGTGCAATCTATCACTCTTGTGGTATCGCGTCGAATGCTGGTGGGTATTGCTGTCAATCAAGGAGTCCGCTTAGGCTGCACCGTGTTTAGAGGCTTTTATTAATATCACGAGGTTACAGCATAAGTTACAGACCCGCGGTGTCTGGAGAAGCCCCGTCCCAAATTAATCTGAATGCTTCTGACTTCTCCTTTGTCTAACCCATACTTATAAACAATGGCAATAAATGGGTTGCTCCCTTTTTCGTCCAATCACCGGTCTCCCCTGGGGCGTCACCCTCCAACTGCTACATTCAAACTAAGATAACAGTTTTTCTTTGTCCCTCAAGACTAGTCATAATCTTCATACACGACACTCTATTGGGAGGTGACAACCAGAAAGGGTCACTTGTTTTCCAATTCTATTAGATTCTGGTGATTGATTTGGCTCCCAAGTGTAAAACAAATTTACAACACAAATTAAGTAATAGACCACCCTCTCTCTCTCTCCATCCCTCCCTCCGAAGTCCCCTCTAGGATATCCGGCCAATCATAAAAGTGGGGCCTATACATGGCCACATTTGGAAAGCCTTTCATTTCAATCTATGAGATGTGTCTACTAGAATGTACAGTCAATGTATGTTAAAAATCCTGTTTCATTTATAATACTACCAGTCACAGTCCTAGCTCCCACACTGACTGAGACTTTGATTATAATTGAGTTAATAGTAAAGGAAATTGAGGTTGTCTCTTTTGGCTTCAATAAGAAATGGGGTAAGGATTTTCAGTGGTTGGTGGTGCACCTCAGAAACAGCTATTATTCTACAGAGATTGACCAGTATGAGATACAGTACATAACAGGGTGACTGGTATACAATATACTTTACAGTAAAGTTTCATATCTGCCTCAGAGTTTTTGATTTCACGAGGAACATGACAAACTGTCCATTAAGAAACCATTTAAGGTGAGTTACAGAGAGATGAGATACAAAGCAATTCTCTGAAGCATATGCTGTTCTGAGAGATTCAGTATTTTCTTGACATGGGATTTTGATGTTATTAGATAGATCACCTCAGTCAGTGAGAGAGGTTTCATGTCTGTCTGAGGAGGAAATGTCAAGAGCTGTAATATGATTCTGTCAGCTCATAACTGCAGAGCAGTGGTGTAAAGTACTTAAGTAAAAATACTTCAAAGTAGTACTTAAGTCGTTTTTTTGGGTATCTGTACTTTACTCTTCATTTTTTTTGACAACTTGTATTTTTCCTTCACTACATTCCTAAAGAAAATGATGGACTTTTTACTCCATTCATTTTCCCTGACACCCAAAAGTACTCGTTACATTTTTAATGCTTAGCAGGACAGGAAAATGGTCCAATTCACGCACTTATTAAGAGAACAAGTGGTCATCCCTACTGCCTCTGATCTGGCGGACTCACTAAACACAAAGGCATAATTTGTGTGCCCCTGGCTATCTGTACATTTTAAAAACAAGAAAATGGTCTGCTTTGCTTAATATAAGGAATTTGAAATGATTTATACTTTTACTTTTGATACTTACGTATATTTTAGATGGAACAGCCATCTATAGACTTATGGGAACACAGGATATTCAACTTGTGATATCTATTGAACACCTCACTATATTGCGACATCTATGAAAAGTGGCCACTGTAACCAATTCAACCAGAATGCCTATAATACAGTTGGTGTGTTTGGATGTGAACAGTTTTGCCCACATTCCAATAAATACATGGTCTAATATTAATGATAATTGATTTACTGAATGGTGACCAAGACCACCAACGGCAGATGCTCACGTCTTTATTGCAGTATGAAATAATAACATGGAGAGGGGAGATGGACGCAAAGGGTCACGTGAAGGGAGTCAGGGTGTTGTCACATGGGTTGTGTTTCCTGCCGGGTTAGGAGTGGTTGAGAAGTTTTAGTCAGAGAGAAGTTGAACAGTTATTTATGAAGTCCTCAAAAAACGAAGGGTGCCAAACTACATCTGCATTGGCCTGAAAATATGGAAATTCCTGCCATAAGCCTCAAGGTAAAGTCGGTTGTTTACATATTTACAATGATCACTGTATTTACACTGCAATTAAAAGGTCCGCACTTCGACAGTAGTTACATTTGTATCTTTCTTTTATCATCTTGTCACGTCCGCAATGTTACAGTTAAAGGAGCATGAGCGCTCCGTTATTGTAGAGAACAAAATAGGAACAAGTGTAACAATCTTCTCCCTTGTATAATGCGTGACATTTTATTCCTCTTGCGTTACAATTATTCTTATTTATTTTTACTCTACATCGTTGGGAAGGGCTGGTAAGCAAGCATTTCACGGTAAAGTCTACACCCGTTGTATTCGGCGCATGTGAAAAATAAAATGTAATTTGAAATGACTCGGGGGCTTATGACGAGATGTTGAGTCCCTGGTTAAACGTTTCCAATCAATTAAAATTATTTATTTATTGTGAATCACTGATCGTTTAATGAAATGTCAGGCATCAATTAAAGTGGAGTTGACGGCAGGCAGGTTCCCTTTCACGGGGGATAAAACATTTTGTAATATGTTTTGACATATTTTTTTGTCCCCGCAGGCCATAGTATTAGTGCACTGGCTACTGACCGTCTGGTAAGTGGATGGGTTGGCTCCTCTCAAGGATTTAAAACGTTTTTATATACCTGTTGAATTTCTCTTGTTGCCCTCTCCAACTGAGGAAAGTGGTCTACTCTGCATGCTTCACCTGTGATGTGTTTTCTCTATGGGTGGCTGCATAAACATAATGCCCTGCATGAAGACTTCTTATAGTTCCAGTCAGTCACACAAGAGGCTGTCTTTAATCGCAGGCCTACATTGTATGGACCATTTCTCACCTACCTGCTTTGCCTCCAGAGTTTGTCAATTAAAAATTGTCCATTTGGAGAATTATATTTAGGCCTACTCTTTTAGAGACGCTAGTATATACTGAAAACATTTGGAAGCATATGCAAGTGTCAGTTGTTATTTCTGACTGCGTGTTTGTGTGATTCCTAGGGGCTGCATGGCCTGGCTGCCGTCCTCCTATGCCTGGGGTAACTTCAGTGTCCTGGCTGTGGGCGTGTGGGCCATCGCTCAGAGGGACTCCATTGATGCTGTACTTATGGTGAATCACAGCCTCATACTCCTGTACTATCTGAGACAGCAGCCAACAGTAGAATCATTCTATCCATTCTATTTCTATGGGCCCTGGCCAGAGGAGGCTTGTGTGTTAGTTTTGAAGTATATCAACTCCTTGGTGTTCCTGTTCCAGACATGCTATCAATAAGAATCATCCTACCTCATCGGGCTCTAATACATATTCGTCTTGTATCTCCGTCTGCGTTTCTCTTCCAGTTTCTGATTGGGATTGCAGTGACGATACTGACAGACATTATCCATTTTGGGATCTACTACCCGCTCATTGACGGTCTATCTGAGAGGAACCGGGACACATTCCGCTTCAGTGCGGGCATGGCCATCCTGGGCCTGCTACTCAAACCTGTCTCCTGCTTCTTCATCTACCAAATGTACAGAGAGCGCGGAGGAGATTACAACGTCAACTTTGGTGAGTATGACTAGGTGTGAGTAGAGGCAGCAAGTGTTAACCATTAGTTTACAGTAAAGCTAGTTACTGTAGCTTCAAGTGTTAAAAATAAGGTTTTGGGGTTTGTACATCTAGTCTCACACAAAGGATTAACCCTGAACTGGTCTGGACAAAGTCAGAAGCAGGGTGTGATGCATGTGGTTCGTTTCCCACGGGGGGCCGGTATGAAAAATGTATGCACTCACTAACTGTAAGTCGCTCTGGATAAGAGCGTCTGCTAAATGACTAAAATGTAAATGTAATGTGCCTCAGTCAAATACCATCCTAGTGCCAAGGAGTTGTAGAGAGGAAATAACATTTTCCAGGCTGCGCTCTTGCCTGGGCTGTTTCATGATGTTGGCCATGAGAGAATTGTAGAGCACATGCAGATCAAACCAGAGTCAAGCTAATTGAGTTACAAAGACGGTCACAAGACAAATGCACCGGATACACCCACTAACTAGTGGACCAGTTAGAGAAGAGCTATGCCTTTGTAGCCAGGTTACATTATATAATCGATTAGCAAAATAATCCGATCTCAATTCAAACAAATACAGTATAAAAGAAAGGACAATTAGACAGTAGAATCTATAATGGCAGTGGCAGAAATCAACCAGCTCCCTTCTCAACTCCATTCTGTTGGTCTGAGTCACACTGAGATGTTAGCACAACACAAGTCTTGGGTGTTTTTGTAGACGGTTCTCACTCCTCACTCCTCACTGGAACAGGAATGGTATGTTAAGTTGTCCCGTAAACCAGTAAGGCACACCTGAAAGCCATTCATATATGAACAGTAATAATTGATATGTTGACTCTGTTTGTTTTAAATGCTCTCTGATTGCTTGACATTGGGAAGTCTCTGGGATCAAGGTGGCCTCCTGCTGTGCTACACACCAAAGCAATAAGGTGTGTGTCGATTTAAAACCATTTATTTAACGCTGATACGAATAAGTATAGTACATCAGTGGAGGCTCCTCAGAGGAGGAAGGGGAGGACCATCCTCAGTGAATTTCCGAAAAATAATTAAACATTTAAAAAGTCATAATTTTAGATAAAACTATACTAAATATATTCAAATGTCACCAAATAATGGATTAAAATACACTGTTTTGGAATGAAGGTCTACAGTAACCTCAACAGCACTCTCTGGGGTAACACCATGGTGTAGCCAGAGGACAACTAGTTTCCGTCCTCCTCTGGGTACATTGACATCAATACAAAACCTAGGAGGCTCATGGTTCTCACCCCCTTCCATAGACTTACACAGTAATTATGACGACTTCCGGAGGACGTCCTCCAACCAATCAGAGCTCTTGGAGCATGAACTGACGTTGTCCACCATATCAAAGGATCAGATAATTAATCTAGTACTGAAAGCATAAGATACAGCTAGCTAGAACTGCAGTGCATAAAATGTGGTGAGTAGTTGACTCAGAGAGAGAAATACAATAGTTGAACAGTTTTAAACAAATACATTTTTTTTAATGAAGGAGAAGCAAGAGAGAAGGAGAGCTAGCTATATATATATTTTTTAACTTTCACTTACTTAGCTAGTGAATGCAGCTAGCTAGTTTAGCCTACTCAAACCCGGTTCAAACAGAGAGGGATGCTATGTTAGCTATTTGGCTAAGGCTATCCAACACTGGAACTCAGGTCAAGGTAAGCTTTTGGTTTTATTAATTTATTGCAACAGGGGCCCACCTGTGTAACTGATGAACTGCTTGCTGTACACTGTACTGCATGATTGTATTGGGTTTACAAATGCGTTAGTTCTAGTAGCTACACTACATGACCAAAAGTATGTGTACACCTGCTTGTCAAACATCTCATTCCAAAATCATGGGCATTAATATGGAGTTGGTCCCCCCATTTGCTGCTATAACAGCCTCCACTCTTCTGGGAAGGCTTTCCACTAGATGTTGGAACATTGCTGCGGGGACTTGCTTCTATTCAGTCACAAGAGCATTAGTGAGGTCGGCACTGATGTTGGGCAATTAGGCCTTGCTCACAGTCGGCATTCCAATTCATCCCAAAGGTGTTCGATGGGGTTGAGGTCAGGGGTCAGTTCAGGCCAGTGAAGTTCTTCCACACCAATCTCGACAAACCATTTCTGTATGGACCTCGCTTTGTGCACAGGGGCATTGTCATGCTGAAACAGGAATGGGCCTTCCCCAAACTGTTGCCACAAAGTTGGAAGCACAGAATTGTCTAGAATGTCATTGTATGCTGTAGCGTTAAGATTTCCCTTCACTGGAACTAAGGGTCCTAGCCCGAACCATGAAAAACAGCCCCAGACCATTATTCCTCCTCCACCAAACTTTACAGTTGGCACTATGCATTCGGGCAGGTAGCATTATGATGTGGAAAATAATCACTATACTTTATTAAAAATCAAAGTTCTTCCATAGTTTTTGTAGAATCAAGATTTGACTTTATTTAAATTTCAAACAAAGCCTTTTTGGTCTGCAGAGTAGCCCCCCTCTCTCTCTCTGCTCCCCATCTATATAGTCCCATTCTCATCCCTTCTAGCTCAAAACCCTTCCCTCTTCAGTTTCCCGCGCTCGATCGCTCCGCCCACTTCCTTTGTCTATGATGGCGGCTAAATTCAACTTGTATTCAGTTCAGAATCAATAGTAATACAATCAATCAATCCCTTATCTTGCAAAAACACTCATATTTAGTTTAAACTCTGGTCAACCCCAGCTCTCCCGAGCTTGACCTGAAGATTGATTGTTGGACATGACAGGTTCACTGAGGAGAGATGCATTAGGCAACAGTCTGGTTTCAGTCTCTGTTAAGGTAGGACAGCCATGGATTTAAGTAAGGGCGAGCAATTCGACCCTAGGTTAGATTCCCACTTCACACACACAGTGAAATTACCCAAATACAGTGGGGAGAACAAGTATTTGATACACTGCCGATTTTGCAGGTTTTCCTACTTACAAAGCATGTAGAGGTCTGTAATTTTTATCATAGGTACACTTCAACTGTGAGAGATGGAATCTAAAACAAAAATCCAGAAAATCACATTGTATGATTTTTAAGTAATTATTTTGCATTTCATTGCATGATATAAGAGATCATACGTTTCCTGTAGGTCTTGATCAGGTTTGCACACACTGCAGCAGGGATTTTGGCCCACTCCTCCATACAGACCTTCTCCAGATCCTTCAGGTTTCGGGACTGTCGCTGGGCAATACGGACTTTCAGCTCCCTCCAAAGATTTTCTATTGGGTTCAGGTCTGGAGATTGGCTAGGCCACTCCAGGACCTTGAGATGCTTCTTACGGAGCCACTCCTTAGTTCCCTGGCTGTGTGTTTCGGGTCGTTGTCATGCTGGAAGACCCAGCCACGACCCATCTTCAATGCTCTAACTGAGGGAAGGAGGTTGTTGGCCAAGATCTCGCGATACATGGCCCCATCCATCCTCCCCTCAATATGGTGCAGTCGTCCTGTCCCCTTTGCAGAAAAGCATCCCCAAAGAATGATGTTTCCACCTCCATGCTTCACGGTTGGGATGGTGTTCTTGGGGTTGTACTCATCCTTCTTCCTCCTCCAAACACGGCGAGTGGAGTTTAGACCAAAAAGCTCTATTTTTGTCTCATCAGACCACATGACCTTCTCCCATTCCTCCTCTGGATCATCCAGATGGTCATTGGCAAACTTCAGACGGGCCTGGACATGCGCTGGCTTGAGCAGGGGGACCTTGCGTGCGCTGCAGTATTTTAATCCATGACAGCGTAGTGTGTTACTAATGGTTTTCTTTGAGACTGTGGTCCCAGCTCTCTTCAGGTCATTGACCAGGTCCTGCCGTGTAGTTCTGGGCTGATCCCTCACCTTCCTCATGATCATTGATGCCCCACGAGGTGAGATCTTGCATGGAGCCCCAGACCGAGGGTGATTGACCGTTATCTTGAACTTCTTCCATTTTCTAATAATTGCGCCAACAGTTGTTGCCTTCTCACCAAGCTGCTTGCCTATTGTCCTGTAGCCCATCCCAGCCTTGTGCAGGTCTACAATTTTATCCCTGATGTCCTTACACAGCTCTCTGGTCTTGGCCATTGTGGAGAGGTTGGAGTCTGTTTGATTGAGTGTGTGGACAGGTGTCTTTTATACAGGTAACGAGTTCAAACCGGTGCAGTTAATACAGGTAATGAGTGGAGAACAGGAGGGCTTCTTAAAGAAAAACTAACAGGTCTGTGAGAGCTGGAATTCTTACTGGTTGGTAGGTGATCAAATACTTATGTCATGAAATAAAATGCAAATTAATTACTTAAAAATCATACAATGTGATTTTCTGGATTTTTTTTAATAAATGACAGACCTCTACATGCTTTGTAAGTAGGAAAACCTGCAAAATCGGCAGTGTATCAAATACTTGTTCTCCCCACTGTAGGTATACATGTAGCTTTTTCCTGCTTCTTAATTTACTGGAACTGTCATATGTATTAACTGCGTTTGTCATAAATTCTACTGTTTGTGCATCTTTGCCTGACATGGGGAGGTGAGAGGCATAATTTGGACTTACACATGAGTAAGTTGCTCCAGTGTCTATCATCATTGGTGTGCCTCTATTATTCACCTGAACCTTTAGCATAGGTTCTTCATCAGCCTGCATAGTTACTGCCACTAGCTGACCCTCCCCTTTAGGATTCCCTGGGCATCCCTAGTATCCATGATTTGGTCCTCCCCACGGGTTCACTAGGCTCTGTGGAGCCTGTGTCTGAGACTGCTGCCATTCAGCTAAGCTGGGCCCATTTCCTTGCCAATTACCCTGTTGTGGTTGCCTAGGCCACCGCGGCTTGGTGGGACAATTCCTTCTTGTATGTCCTGATTGATTGCACCTCCAGCAGACACCTGGTCTTCTTGGTCCACCATTCTGGTGTCTGTTGCTGTGGTCGGTACCATTGATTCCTTGGTCTGTTTCCATTTCCTCTGTTTATATACTTTGATTTGTTTTAACACTTTTGTTTTTGTTTACTACATGATTCCATATGTTATTTCATAGTTGTGTGTCTTCACTATTATTCAACAATGTAAAAAATAGTAAAAATAAAGAAAGATCCTTGAATTAGTAGATCCAGAGTAAGTAAACCTTTTAAGGGAATTATTCCACTTTCATCAAGAATATTAAGTCTGCATGAAACCCTATTGATTTTGTCCGTTTTCGTCATCCAATCCCAAACATCTCACTGTCACCATTTCCTTTTCACTTATTTCACTGCTTGTGATTGAGTGTTGTCAGTAGCTTTATGTCTGTGAGTGGAAACTCTCCTGTCTTGTCTGTTTGGTGTGTTATGTTCTGACCCTGTTTGTATTTTGTCTCCATCTGTCTCCCCTCTGCTGCTGGCCTCTGACCCCTCAGACTTCGAGACCTCAGTGGACAGTCGCTGCACCACGGATAGTGCTGACAGTGCTTTTATTGGCTGCCGCTACTGATCCCCATCCTCTTCTTTTTCATAATTCCTTTCCTTCCATCATCCTCTCCTCCATCCTCTCCTCCCCTCACACAGAAAGTAAAGGAAACCGCTGGGCTGAAGAACTACAGGCCTACCTCACTTTTTGTTCTGTTTTCTGACTGTCCACTCTTTTACCTCTGGCCACATGACTGCAAAATCTATAGTTCAGTGTTCTGTACTCATGTCTTCCCATTCATACTCTTCTGCCAATCACATAATATCTACATGTCCCTCCTTCCTATCTAAATACTGAAACTGTCATCACTGCCCCCTACACTCCATGAAAATGATCTTTACATATTCTTGCTTGATGTTTTTGTGTTTGTAAGACAAAATAGCTAAGAATAAGGTTGAACAATTTAGGTCATAAACAGATGGTTGGAGATTTTAACACAACTTTGAGTACTTAAAGGGATACTTCAGGATTTTGGCAAGTTATACTTCCCCAGAGTCAGATGAACTAGTGGATACTATTTTTATGTCTGTGTCCAGATTGAAGAATGTTAGAGGTAGTTTTGTGAGCCAATGCTGACTAGCGTTAGCGCAATGACTGGGAGTCTATGGGTATCTACTAGCATGCTAATTAATTTATGCTGAACATTTTTGAAGTTGTATTTTTAATAAATTATATTTAAGTGAAAATGCTAAATTTTGTTTTGCCTGTTTTTGTTATCTGATTTTCACATCCATATTGTGAAAGCCAAGGTTGGCTCTTATAAGATAGAATTGATTGTTTACATTGCAGCTCTGATCATGTGATCAAGGTTCTAGGCAGCCATTGGTATTCTGTCTGGGGAACTGTTCAGTATGCACTAGTGGAATTCTGCACCCTGTCTTAGTAGGTTTATCCCCACATATTGACTTTTTAAAAGTGTGTTTTAAATCATGTTTGTGATGTTTGTAGTGGCTCATATATACAGGGTTTTCAGTTTAAACAATTCCTGAGCAGTCTGACTTTGAAAACATTCAGTCCTTTATCTCCTGGGTGGTGTTCTATTCCAATCTTTTTCTTCTCTATTCTTTGACTGTGGCTCCTCTGAACACAGACACGATTGTGTGTGAGTCCTTCAGATTGGTCTCATTCAAATGTAATTTGCAATTTTCTGAAGGAACATTTAACCTCCTCAAAATGAAGTTGATGTTCCGTTTTAGTTTTTTGTTAAATCTGTAATAGAACATTTGACAGTTATTTGAGGCTCACAGAGTACATTCAATCAAGCATTATTTGATTTGCCATATTCAGAAATGTGTCCTACTGGATGATCAATATGTAGCCAGAAGGTGAGAAGCCTTGAGTTCAAATGATCAACATATTTAAGAGTTATATGAATGTCAGTGAAGTGAAACAGGTTTTTGGGGTATAATGTACTGTACCAGCTACTTTATTTTCAAGACCTTTGTCTTATCTCTACACAGCAGGCATCCCCAGTGTAACACAAAACAGAGATGCGTACCAGTCCATTGACCAGCAGGACCAGACCACCAGCTCAGCCAACCCCTAAAAGCCTGAAGCAGCAAACTCCCACTGAGAGACAGCACAGCACAGCACTCACTTTATTCTCTTGGAAATGCATGGTTTCATGAAGGAATCCATCACATCCATAATGTTTTTGGTAAATGATGTGTTTTTTCAAAGCCAATTCAGTCTTCTTTTCATATGGGTATCTGTCCTTTGTCTGTTATTCTGTGCTTCATTCAATTCCTTACCAAAATACTCACTGTCATGGTAAAAGAATAGGACATGTATGCTTGATGCTCTGGGTAATGTCACACACTGGCATATGGAGATAACTCCTGAGTGGCGCAGGGGTCTAAGGCACTGCATCGCAGTGCTAACTGTGCCACTAGAGATCCTGGTTCGAATCCAGGCTCTGTCGCAGCCGGCCGCGACCGGGAGACTCATGGGCGGCGCACAATTGGCCCAGCGTCGTCCAGGGTAGGGGAGGGAATGGCCGGCAGGGATGTAGCTCAGTTGATAGAGCATGGCGTTTGCAATGCCAGGGTTGTGGGTTTGATTCCCACGGGGGGCCAGTATAAAAAAATATGTATTCACTAACTGTAAGTCGCTCTGGATAAGAGCGTCTGCTAAATGACTAAAATGTAAATGTAAACTTGAATGATAGACCCCAGTCACTGCCCAACAGTAAAAGGAGAGCTGTGATTAAGTTTCAGATTTTATGGTACAAAGCACTAACCATGTTTCCATCCACAGTTTTTATGCGAGGAAAGTCCTACCTTATAAAAAATAATCATCATCACGACAGCTGTGATGGAAACAAAGTTGTACTGAAATGCCAGCAGATAATTTGCTTGTTCGACACTAGCTAGGTTTCCTGCCAATTGGCGACGGATTTTCTTGCGAGTATTCCAAAATCTGCATAAAGAATATCTGCACATTTTTCCACCAGTGGTGTGTCCAACAAATGGACTTGTTGAGAATAAAAATCAGTGAGTGATGACGTAGTGCACACAAAATGTACCGAATAAAAATCTAAAGTTGTGTCTTTCCATCGCATTTTCAACTCACAAAAACGGTTGCGTTAAATTGCAAATGTGCCTACTCTGGTTTTGGCACACATGCTCTAGCCCAGTGGTTCCCAACCTTTTTCGGTTACTGTACCATCAACTGAATTTTGCTCTGCCCGGATTACCCATGAAGTACCCCCTCCTGTGCATTTTTCCAGTAAGCATATGGTCTCATGAGTCTTCTCAAGTACCCCTGGTTGGGAACCACTGCTCTAGCCAACAGATACAGTGCGGATAGGCTACTCTACATTATGAGATTATTAAGAGCGAAACAAATTTTTGGGGTCAAACGGCAGTCAGGCATCGATCATCATGTCCCCAGAATAAGACCCTCAATATTGATTGGAAAGGAGCATCAAGATCACCGTGCACTTTCACCACCCTGTGAAGTTCATCATACGTTTTTTATTCTGTAGCCTAATAAACTAATAAACGGGCACTTTCATGGCCCCGTGAAGTTCATAATTTATTTCATCTGTAGCCTAATAAACTGCATAGTTTCCAGAGTCGTAGCGGGAGGACCACACACCAAATCATCACGTGACTCCAAGCTTACTTCTATATGATGGTTATTATATTAATATTTGTGAATTAAGACATTTCCATAACCATTTCTCGCATAATTCATTTTACCGACACAAAAAGATCTCACCATGTAGAACGAACAAATGATCTGTCGGCATTTATCAAATTGTACTGAAACTTCCTGTTTCCGTCACAGCTGTCATGATTTTTTAAAAATATGGTATGACTTTACTCACATAAAAACTGTGGATGGAAACGTGGTTATGGTGGGATCTTTTTGTGTGTAAAATTAAATATGCGCGAAATGGCGGCTGAAACGACTTTATGCGCAAATATTGATATAGGCCTAATAACCATCATATCGAAGTAAACTTGGACTCAGGTGATGATTTGGTGTGTGGTCCTCCCACTACGACTCAGGGAAACTGTGCAGTTTATTAGTCTACAGATGAAATAAATTATGATTTGATTAGATTTAGTAGGATCCCCATTAGACAATGCCAATGGCGACAGCTATTCTTACTGGGGTCCGACATATAACGAAAAAGACATAAATGAACTTCATGGGGTGATTCAAGTGCCAGTTGATGAGCTCGAGGGTCTTATTCTGGTGACATCCTTGATCGATCCTTGACTGCAGTTTGACAAATAAAAATATTCTTGCTCTTATCCATAATAATCTCATCATGTAGCCTAGACTATTTCACTCACACTGTATCTGCTAGCTGTTGGCTAGAGGCGGGTGCCAACACCAGAGTAGGCACATTTTGGCACATTTGCTATTTAACGCAGCAGTTTTTGTGACAAAACTATTGGTAGAGTTGTAAATGCGATGGAAACACATTGAACTTGAGATTTGTATTCGGTACATGAAAACATTTTGTTATTGTATGTGCATTATGTCGTCACGCACTGATTTTTTTCGGCAAAAAGTCAGTTTGGTGGAAAATCTGCGCATATTTTAATTCATTTGGGATTTTAGAATATTCGCATGAAAATCGGTCCCCAAATGGATGGAAACCTAGCTACTGGGATAATAATGTAGAGAACACAGTTGGCCAAATATATACAGCCAAGTTTGCGCCACCTCTTACCAATATCTTCCCTGGCCAAAATGCTACTATATTTCTTACTTTTTGTCTTTTTTAAAAAGATGCTTGATGAAAGATATTTGTTGTCATAACCAACGTTCCATCTAAGCTCTGCGTATGTGTGGGCGCATAGCTCCCCCCGGACTGCCTCACAGAATAAATATCAGCCCGCCCTGTTCAGAGAAGCACGACATTGAACTTCACTAAACTTTCTGGAGTTTTCCCAGTTAGTTAACACCGATCAACGTTTCCCTTTACTGTAGAAATTGTGATCGAATCAACACAATATTAGCTACTTTCAATGCAACATACCGAAACAAAACAAACTATGCAATGGATTCTGTTGTAGTCAGAATGCATAGGCCCTGTAGCTCAGTTGGTAGAGCATGGCGCTTGCAACGCCAGGGTTGTGGGTTTGTTTCCCTCGGGGGGCCAGTATGAAACTGTAAGTCGCTCTGGATAAGAGCGTCTGCTAAATTACTAAAATGTAAATATCAGAGTAGGATTATATTGCACTGATGAGAAGCTACAATTGGATCAACAGATTGAGCTGGAATGTGCTCACCGGTCTGGGAAGCCAGGGGGCACTGGTGGTGCCAATGGAACCAGACCCAGGCCAATTGTAGTGAAATTCCTCAGGTTCAAGGATAAGCTTGCAGTTCTTGAAAAAGCCAAATGCCTTAAAGGGTCCTACATCTTCATCAATGAGGATTTCTCTGATGCAGTCTGTCAAAGAAGAAAGGAACTAATACCAGCTATGAAGGCTGCAAGAGAACGAGGTGACATAGACTACCTGAGGTTCACCCTCTCAGATTCCAACTGCTGATTCTGCTGTTTGGACATATAAATACTGTAAATCTACCAAAGAAATGTCTGTTAATTGCTCACATGAATATTTGCAGTTTAAGGAACAAGATTCATGAAATATGCTGTCTAGTGCAGTCAAACAATATTCATGTATTAGCAATATCAGAGACTCACTTGGACTCTTCTTTTGAGGATGCTGAGATCTCTATACATGGATACAATTTGTTCAGGAGGGACATAAATAGATATGGGGGTGGAGTTGCAGTTTCCATCCAGAGTCATATTCCAGCAAAACAATGTAAAGACTTAATGTTGAATGGATTAGAGGTGCTAAGGGTACAGGTGCATTTACCACATTTGAAACCTATACTAGTTGGTTGTTGCTATAGGCCACCTAGTGCTGATGTGAAATATCTTGATGTAATTTGTGTAATGTTGGATAAGGTATCTGATGAAAATAGGGAATATATATTTTTTGG